CTCAGCTCAGCTCAACTCAACTCGAGGGTCCTGGGAAAACAAACGTCGTCAGCTTTGCTGGCTTTTTGGGTTAATGCCACGCCCACGGCGACCTCTTGTTTTCAGCTTATGCAGCTGGATCCCCGATGATGCCATTGGATGTGGATGCCATTGCTGCAACTAGTGCAAAGTGTAAAAAATGCTGAGAGGCACAAAGTAAGTGAATGAAAGTGTGCCAGAAAGTGTGGAAAACAAATTACCCCTTATAAATTTAAAATATAATTTTAATCCAATTATAAAATAAAAATATAAGCTCAAAATTTATTTTAGGCGAAATATTTTAGAACTATACTTCTGGTCTTGTCATAATTTGTTACAAAATATTCCAGCAACATCGTTATTGTGAATCCAACTGTTTAGCACAAAACCTTAATAAAGAATAGCTTGAATATTATTCTTGCATTCACCCTCAATTATGGAGATTAGATGACTGCTGCTCAGAAAATGAGGTGAATCCGAGGAATTTGTCATGATTTTCCCTAGCAGCGCTGGGCAACAAAGAAAGTAGAACGAAGGAAGTACTTCGGCCCAGCAAAACTAGGGAAAATGCGTCACTTTTAATTTGTTTGCCGTTCTCCTGGCAGCTCGGCCTTCTATTTTTCCATATATATATATATATATTTATATGGTATATATGTATATATTTTTGAATCGCTACCGTTGTCTGTTGCAACAAACTAAGACTTGTCGAGCACTTTTGTCTTGTCGTCTTGAGTGTTGCAATTAGCAAATAAAATAAGTAGCGCTCGCTGCGTGGGTATTGCAACAATGCTGACAACAATGGCAGAGTTAATTGCAAACAAACATGGAGCTGGCAACCCTGGCGGCGCTCGGGGTACAGTCACGTGCCATGCAAATTAGTTTCCATTCAACTTAACCTTGTTAGGACCAACTGACAGGCTTCCACTCTCGCGACTCAACGAATATGCATGGGGAAGTGAAAAGCACTGCTGTGGGAATTAGAGACTCAACGAAAAGTACATGGTTGTTTGTTAACAACACCAAGTAAATCTTATGTTATGAACACGTTTACATTTTCTGATTTTATATATTAAATAATAAAACATGTAAAATCCATGGCTAGGATTTTAGAAAAGCAGCCCTCGAATATTTTATAAGTTTCTTTAACAACAGACAATAATATTGATATTACTTTAATACCAAACAATACAAATAAATTCATTATTTAGTATATATAGCAAGTAGGAGAGATATTCCCCTTGTGCGTCTCTTGGCATGAAATAATTTAATAAACATGAAAGAGAAACATCAAATCAATATGCCAGTGGTTAGAATTTAGGAGTTGCCAGGCTGCGGCTCGTTTTGATTTCCGAGTGCTAGGTGCAACACCTGCTGGCACTTCCACTTACGCAGATTACCATCTGTTTTTATGGCCCCGCCCACTTTGCCATCGCCTCCGGGGCAATGAGATGCAACAACTGCAGCAGCAACGTATGCAACACATGCAACCACTCAGGCGAAGCAGCAGCTCCGGAACAATTTTCGCTCCATTGCCATCAGTTAATCATATTGCTAGGTTCCACGACCACGCCCACTTCTGCAAGGTGAAGGCGTAAAGTCGTTTCCTTCACTTAAGGGCAATCTCTATTTAAATGCGAAGCTTTTATATATGGGAAATTCTATAAATTATGTTTTGAATTCATTTAAAATGGAACATGATTTAAAAGAATTTTATTTTCTATAATATTTGTACTTATTAAAGAGCTTATTGGGTTATTTCTGTAATTTAAAGTTTAAATTTTTAATATTGTAGACCAAGATTACTATTTGAATTAATTAATTAAATGCAATAAAAACCATAAAAAGCCAGCTGAAGCAAACAAATCGGAAATAAAGGGATTTCGCATGCCAATCAATTTGTGTATGGACAAGTGCAAATAAACTAAATCATTATAAGTTTATAAATTTGCAAATTTGTCATTTTTTGTTCGGTTACCAATTAAATAAACCTCTTCGCAAATGCTTTATTCGACTGTTGTGCTGGCATTTTGACTTTTGCAAATGTCAAAACGCAAACTAACTAAGCCAATTGCGAAACGTTTAAGTTGAGCAAATAAATGCAATCAATTGACAAGCGACAACAAAGAACATAACTTAATAATTCTATGGGCAACAGCAACAAGCTGAACAACAACAACAATCAAAACAACAACAATAAAAACAACAACACAATAAACGATGTACAATGATACAATGGCAAATGGACGCATGCAAATGTGCGTTGAAAATGAAATCGCCTTAAAATCTATGGAAATGCGCTTAAGTGCTTAAGCGTCATGCACACACACACACACACATGGGTATTTAAGCACCCACACACTCAAACACACACACACAGACACCAATGGGGGTGGGTAAAACAAAGCATGGATTTAAACAAACATGGCTCTAACCACGTGTCCGTGTGGCTACGTATCCTTGTTTTACCCTGTCTGTGTGAGTGTGCGTGTGTGTGTGTGTGTGTGTATGTGTGTTTGGGTGTGCGAAAACATGCGTGGATTTATTTCAGACTATGGTCCGACAAAAAAAAATGTCAACAAAATGCAAAAATACAAGAATTCCAACAGTTGGCAACAGTTTGCGAGCAAATAAAGCGGACAAAGCCACACTCTGGCATTTATTTATTTAACTACAGGGTGCCCATGGAGGACTAGTGAATAAATAAATTTTGTTTCGAAATATTTAAATTTAAAATTTTAATGTTTATTGGTTTATTGTACACCAATATATTTGACAGAAATCAAAAAAGTGTATTTCTTTATATATTCAAAATCAGATCAAAATTTTGTATTTGTTTTACAAAAATTATAACACCATAAAAAATATAATGAGGAGGTGAAAAGAAATTAAGTACATATATTCTTCAATAATATTTAATTGTAATTATTTTAAGATATTTCTCAAATTTATATTAATTAAATCTATAATATTTTTATTTCAACAACATATTTAAGCTTTTAATTTGTTTTCCTTGTTTAATGTGCAAGCCAATCGATTTTTGAAAAAAATATAAATTTTTCGATAATTAACAAATATTTTTAGAATTAAAGAACACCCTTTCTTTTCAGTGTTGGCACACGCAACGTAAACAATTCGGTTTGCTTTTTGTCCGAACGGCGGTCATCATTTTTATGACCCATGTTGCATACATTTTAAGCAGCTTAAGTTTGCATTGCGGCCGGCCAAAAAGGGGGGATTGGGGGATTGGAGGATTTTAGGGGCAGGCTGGTCGCACTGGGGTTTTTGGTGGAGGCTGGGGGCATTTGTCATTTGCTAATTGCTTGGCCGGCAAAACAAAATTGTTGCAAAGCAATTAGCAAAAGCGCCGGACAAAATGAAGAGGGTATGGACATGAAAAACGGCTCAGAAAGGCAGCGCGAATCGATAACTATAAAAGCTATGCCTATGCGATATCGATTCGACCCCGTTTCCGGTGACGTCTCATTCGAATATTTCAAATATTTCAATCAACTGGCCAAACATTGCTTTTTCCCTTTTCGCTTTTTCCCTTTTTCCCCTCTTTCCGCCCCCTTTTGCAGTCACTTTTCCAACGAGCGTGAAAATTGAGTGCCAAACTCTGTGGGAAATGTGGGGGCAGCCAAAAGGGCGGAGCCGGAGGCGATGGTCGGTGGGCGTGGCGCTAAATGTGAGTACGGAAAATAGCTATTCGAGTGTCAAATCAAATGTCAATGTTGCGGGGGGTGGAGGCTTTTTGGTGGGTGGTCGAAGCATTTCAATGACATCTTCCAAAGTGTTTACCAGTGCATTTTGGCGACACGAAACCCCCGGCCAAATCCATAGTTCACCAAAACTTCCGTCCCGAATATGCTTTTGGCAGAACATCAACAGCACCACAGTACCCGTAATCATCGGTATTGGCATCGGCATCGGCATCGGTATTGGCATCGGCATCGTCATTGGGCCCATAATTAACACCCACTAGGAGCTGCAATTTGGAGTGCATTGTTGTCGTTCCCGAGGTATTAGGCACAACTCAATCCGCTTCAGAGATGACTGCGTGAATATCTTTTACTAGGAAAAGCCGAAAAATGGCTTTGCAGAACAGTTGCCATAAGCCTGAAATTCTAAGCCAATAACTTTTCTTATTGAATTCCGAAGAGAAAGATCTCTGAAAGCCTGTGGTTTAATTCTCGAAAAATCTGCGTTTCAGTCTAGGTTTGTAATTTTGGGTCGATTTTAGTGAGAAACAAACTGACGGCAAAAATGTACCAAAAATTCCTTTGCATTTTCTTTTTAAAATAACACACACTGTAAAAAAAACTGTTGCTAACATGTTAAGTGTAAAAACAATTAAAATGTGTTTCCAAAAAAGGCAGCGTGCATTGGAATGGCAGAAAAGCGGCTTTTCCAAACTCATTTTTTTTACAAAAGTCTAATTTTAAATAAACTTACACACTAAATTACTTACACACTAAATTGAGTTGCGGTGTTTTGAAGATGGGATTTGGTGACCACATAAAACCATACCATTTCGATATTGTCGAATTCAAATGTATAATTTCATTTCCGTTTCCGTTCGTGAGTCTCGGGTCACGCTCCGCCCCCTACAGCTGACCTCTGACCCCCACTCACACTCGCACACGAGGGCGCAATCAAATATTTTACATCTACAGACAACGCCAGCAGGCATTCCCCAGCACACACCCACCAATGAGAGTGTGTGTGATTGTTTGGTGGTGGGCGGTGGATTGGTTTTGCAAATTGATTGGTTTTGATTTTGAGGCTGTCACAGTTGGACGTCTGGCAAGTCAATTAGTTATTGGCAATTAAATGAATCCAAGTATAATTCTCTTCATCGTATCTTCTTCATATCTTTAAAATATGAAAACAGACCTTGATTGGAATTTATTTTAAATAGGTAAGCTCAGATGTTGAAAAAGCGGTTCCAGTTGCAATTACCCAATAAAATCTCGCCTTACTTGATTTCATATTTAATTCCAAAATACTAAAACTGATGTTATTAGAAATAAAAAAAGTAAACAAACATAAAACAATTAAACGCTATAACGTACATGATATTATAGAATTGAGTTTTCAGAAACCCCAAGTACAACATTCGTTGTAGATTTTATTATAAATTAATTTGGTATCCACTTCAAAAACACTCGACTAGATGAAAAACGGTCGATTAAAATAAGTTAAGTAATGGTATAAAAAAAAAAAAGAGTATAGTGCTAATGCTAAACTGAGTTATTAATGTCGCTTTGTCGATGGCCACTCGAATTATGTGGGTGATGTGCACCCAAGGCGGGGCTTTGCCAATCCCTAGACCTTGCGATGCTCCTGGGCGTACTGCAGTGCGCCGGCCAGGATGCTCCTCTCCAGGCGGCGGTACTGCAGCAGCATGAGCTCGATTTCCTGCTCAGGTTTTTCCCCTTCCTTGAGTTCCAGCTGGGACAGCTGGGACAACGCCTCCAGCTCGTCGGCCTCCCGCAGTTCCTTATCGAAGACGGCCAGCAGCAGCTTCAGCCTGTCCTCCAGAAACTGCCAGGTGCGCGTCTCATGATCCGTCTCCAGGGCGCAATCGATGTGCAGTAGATCGCCGGCCCGCTCCAAGTCACTGCACCAGTGCTCCAGCTGCTCGGCGCTCATCTTGAACACCCGGACGAAGGCCAACAGCTCCTTGGAGATGAAATCCGGCGCCGGCAGCACACGCAGCTCTGCATTGTGCCGGATGTTCAGTTTGTCCAGAATACTAGCCCTCTTTGCGGCCAGTGCGTCCGTGGTGCTGAGGCCCACGCGAATATTAACGTAATCCTTGGGGTTGTTCACATCCACAAAGCTATAAAGTAAAACATAAACAGAATTGGATAAACGTTCGTATAACATTTCATATTTGGGCTATTTGTTGCATTGTTTTGGATGTATGAAATCAAGATCAGCTAACGATCCCCATTACTTTTCAGCTGATTTAAAAATAAATAATGATTTGATCAGTTTGCGCTTCTTTTTATAACGAGTTACCTTAATAACAAGTTCACAAAGACTATTAATTGAACAATAAATAAATAAATAAATTTGTTCTTTCTCGCTTGTTAGTTACACATGTTTGCGAAAACGGGCAATGGATGAATTTTTGATGATTTATTAATCGCTAAAAATGGCCAGATCTGTAGGTAACTCACCCATTGTGCACCAGAAGATCGGTATTCGACCGATCGCCGTAGTAGATGAAAAACTGCTCTCCGGCGGCACACGCCTCCTGGGCGGTGCACTCCAGTTGCCTGGAGGCGGCGGCGTAGAAGGAGGTTATCCTGCCCGGTCTGTGGTTGGCCATATCCCAGTAGGGAATCAGGGCCGAGATGAACTTGGGGCCGGCCTGCTTTTCGCTGGGCACCAAGTTCTGGCGGGTCATTACCGTAGAAACGGCCCATCTGGAAAATAAGAGAAGAAAATATTATATTATATGTAATATTATTAGTGCCATTCTAGGTTAAATATACGTCATAAAACCCATAAAAAGCAAACTCTTAATTAAATAAGAGTTGAATATTTCGGCATTAAAAGTACCATTTAGTCGATTCTATTCCGTTTCGTTCTATTCCCCCCCCCGGTTTTTGGCTATTTTTGACTTATTTTTTCTTCGCCTTGCTGCGGTTGCTGCTGGTAAGACCACAAAGAAAAGTTTTTCATTTAATTGTGCATAAATTTTTCAATTTAATTATGAAAAGCAGCAACTTGTTTGAAGTGGTTACAGGGTGGAGGAGTCGCCACTCACTTTGTTAGAAATCACCATGGACAAGAGCAAGAACAGCCATGGCAGTAAGTTTTCTACCTTTTTTTTTATTCATTCTCTTGGCTGTATTTATTTCTGGGCAGCAGGAAAAAGGGGCAAAGAAGTTTTCAACTTTTTCTGAAAGCCTTTGTATTGGCCCTTATGTCTTTCCATCCAGATTTTGCCACAGAAGGGGCAGGGTATTTTTATTGAAAGTAATAAGTTGTCAGATGGCATTGCCAGTGTTGGAAAGGCTCAAGCGAGTGCGCTCCTTGTGTGCTGACTGTACGAGTGCCTTGGCAAAAGTTAATCAGCATTCAAGAGTGTGCCACTTTCTTTACTTTCCCCATTTCGCCCTGCTGCAGTTAATCGGATAACCGAACTTGAATGCACTGAACGAACGCTTTCTTTGCTGACTTTTATTTACAGGTGATATCCGCACTTGTGGCAACTGTACTTTTTATGGGACCCATTTTTTGTTTCTTTTCTATAACAAAATCATGGCTGTGCATGAAATCTATAGATGATAATAGCAAAGGTTTATTGGCTGACGATAAACTGGACCTCCAACATGATATAATAAAATGTCTACAGTATTTTCTGCAAAAACAATTGCTCTTTTGCAACACTGTTTGACATTCATCGATGGAAATCGACTTGCTCTATGGCCACGCACACAATGCTTTTAAAGCTCTTTGACAGAGTCGTCTGCCGTTGGCAGCCAAGGATGAAGGTGCGTCTCTCACCTGTCACCTAAAGGAAGTGAGTCAGCCAGACAGCCAGACAGTCAGACAACCAGATATCAAGCCATCCGAGTTATATTACGCTACGACTTGACATATTCAAGTGCCTCAAATTGCAGACGTCTGCGGTGACTCTGTTGCCCTTCGAACTTTGCCCTGTCATTATGTATGAAAAATATTGTCTCAAAACAAGCCTTTGACTAGTCTCCGATTGCAAATGTAAAATGCCACATGCTTTCAGGCAGGTGTTGTGTAATTTTAGATTTATTTTTTTTTTTTGTTTCTATTGAGAGTTCTGCGAAACTCATCCTTTAATCACAGCCCTTGGTTCTGCTGCTTCCACTGCCAAAGTTAGCAAAGTATAATCCGCACATGGATCTGCTGATTTGTGATTCCGGGCAAACGGTTTTCCCCGGCTTTGCCGTATTTGTTTGCCGGACAAGTTGAGACTCTTACGATACAATCCGATTGCCGGAGTGAGGTCTCATCACTTCCCGTGCCTTCGACTGTCTTCATTACGTATGCACACTCTTGCAGTCCTTCTCTCCCCCACTTTCCCGCTTTTCACGGGGAAATGCCAGTAACTTAGACCAAATTGAAAATGGAGCAGATGGAGCAAAAAAAAAAAAAAAAAATAAAAATAAAAGGCAGAGAAAACAGAGTCGAAAGAGATGTCACAGCAAATGACGTGACAGAAATGCGTGTAATGGTCGGGGCTGCATTCTCGATTCCATTCCAACAACATACATACAACTCGATTCGATTTTCCTGGGGCTTTTGCAACGATTGCCATTATTTCCGCATTGTTGGCCTGTTTTTTGTTTGCAAGATTACTTGTACTTTCCTTGCAGTTTTTCCTGTCATTGTAATGAGTTCGGAAGACGTTTTTCATCACTCAGTTAGTCTCGGGCCTTTTGGATTAATTATTATTATGGCATTCTGGCTGGCCAATCGAATGGCTCGCAATGGTGAAACCGCAAAGGGGAGGCAATCATGCATTAGTCTGATTAGATGATGAAGTTTTCGCTGATGAAGCTGCCATCGACTTTGGCAAACAGTTAATCAAAGGCAAACATCCTGGGCACACAAATATGTACATACATATATATTATTCATGGCTTACATCTATGCATTTCGGTTGTGCATAATCAATCCTGTATGCATCTTTATCTGAGCTTCCTTCCGGTTCTGTTACCAGCCTAAAATTGAAAATTAATTACATATGCTCAAAATGACCTGCGGCGACAACTCATTTTCACCCACCTCCCAATGGGAGTAACCTACTTGTTCTGGAGGCGATTTCATAACTATGACCCAAGACATTTAATTGGGCCGATATATTATTCAATTATATGGTCTGATGACCATTCCCTTAACCCACATGTTTGTTAGACAAACATTAAATGTTAAATATAAGTAGCTCAAGTAATACTAGTACACTAATTTATAAGGAAATCGTTATAGCACCAAGAAATGAAAAATAAATAAATTAAATGAAATAAGATATGTTTATTTATTAGGGCAAAGAGTATGCTTAGTGTCATAGATTGTATGCACATGTGCTAATCGAAATTGTAAAGTATACGACCCGTAAACCACACGCATTATTAGGGGTTTATCATAAAATGTAATGTGAGAGGGCGAGGCAAACTTCAATGTCAGTACCATAGAACCATGGCCATAATGTTGATGGTACTCCTTTTCAGAGGTATTTGCCTTATTTTCTGGCAAATGCTTAAGGAGTGCAGCAGATGGCCTTTTCTTCAATAAACAACAGACATTTGATTAGATGTCAATAACGAAAGAACGTAGGTCTTTTTCTGCGTAGGTTTTTCGGCAGCTGATTATGGAGGAAAGTCAATAAAGAGCGAGGCAAATATTTATAGATTCCATCAATCAGATGGCTCGGGCTCATCCATCACACCCACTCAGATGTGCAGAAACAGGCAAAAGTAATTTAATGCACTGCGGGAATTTCACTTTGATTAAATTTTTGAGCTAATAAAATCTGGTTTCAAAATTGTTAAATAAACTTCTTTGTATCTTTTTGAAGCCATTAAAAGTAAAAAGTGTTTAACAATAAATATATGGTTGTTAATAATTTAAGAAAATGTCCCGTTTAATCTGATTGCTTATTATATATACTTTGTGCTAATTAACAATATTTTCTTATCTAAAAACGTTTCTCTGACTTTATGGAGCTCTGCTTGATGACTGATAAGCAATCACTTGCCTTTTCTATTTGCAGCTCCTGCAGACGGGTGTTTCCCTAATAGTGGAGGATCCTAAGGCTGCTGGCGATGCCAGTGGCAGTGGCAGTGGCAATGGTGTCTCACAACATCGCCGTCGTACCGCCCAGTTGGCCACTCGCAAACGGAAGCGACGCCCCCAACTTCCGCTGGCCACGATGGGCGCCGCGGTGGAGGAGTCTGGTGTTGGTGCCAGTGCTGGTCCGGATGCCAACTCCGCTTATTGGCGTGGCCATGTGGAGGACGATGCAGATGCCCTGCGAAGACGCAAGCAACCGTTGGTCCGGGAACCGATGGCAGCCCTCGAAAGGGATCGCAACGAGAGGGAGAGAGAGAGGGAGAAGCAACGCCAGAGGATGGAACCCACGGATGCCAGTCCGCAGGGCAGCAATCCCAGCAAGGCCTATCGACGTCCCTATGGCCAGGCCAAAAAGGAACCCTCGACGGATGGGGGCGAAGTGGCGCCAACCAAGACCGCCGTGGATCTGAAGAATATCCTAAAGAATTCGGGTGGCCTGAGTCTCAGCGAAATCCTACAGCAGAAGAATCTCTCGTTGGACGATCTGCTCAAGGGCAAACAGAATGCTCTGCTGGCACTGCAAACCACAGCGGTTGCCCCACCAGCCTCCACTTACTCCTCCTCCGCCCGAGATGTCCCGAAGAAATCGAGCAGCCAACAGAGTAAACAGGGAGTTCGACGACTGCCAGCTGCCTATACCACTGCTAGCACCACTGGTCACGATGAGGATGATTCCTCTTCCTCGTCGTCGTCGTCGAGCACCAAGAACAAGGCCAAATTCCCCACAGCCCTGCAGCGTTTGAAGCTCTTTGGCAGCTCATCGCGGGAGAACAGCAGCACCACCAGACGCATTTTGGGGGGAATCAATAGCTACGGCAGCAGCACCACCATGGCCACCAGCACCACTGACAGTGGCAGCAACACCACCACGAGCACCACCCGCGTGCCACTCTACAAGAAGCGTCAGCACTTGCGGTCCACCCTAAGGCCACCGGGACTTTATAAGTCGTTGACCAGCACCACCCTAAGCACAAGCACAACAACCACAGCGGCGGCAGTGAGCACCACTCAGGAGATGGAGACGAGCACCGCCTACTCCACCAGCACGGTGGTTAGCAACCTAGAGGACAGCCAAGAGGAGGAGCGGGAGAACTCCGACGAAAGGGAACGAGAAAGGGAAGAGGAGCAGGCAGAGGAGAAGCTAAAGAACGAGGAACAGGAGCAGGTGCAGGAGCAGGAGCAGGAGCTTGATAACCAAGAGAACCATGAGAACCAGGATAGCCAGGAGAACCAGGACTTGGAGGACCCCGAAGAGCAGCCCGATTCCAGGGAAGTCGAGTCTGGGGAAAGCAACCCACACACCGAGGAGCCACCACCACCTGCTCCTTCTTCTGCCCTGCCACCCGGTGGCCCACGCTATCGTCTGAGGAACTCCAGCATTAAGGATATGCAGAAGCGTCTTAAGGATAACTTTATAGGCGGAAATGTGGAAATGGAGAGTGGCGAGGAAGTGCCAATGGAAATGGCCAGCTCAACCATGTCAGCCACACCGTCCTCGAATAGGAGTGGCGAGGAGCTGAGCTACGGCGAAGACGAGCTGGAGAACTTCTTTGACGAAGTGGAGAGCCATACGCATCACACGCGAGTGCCAGCACCACCAGCCGATGCACCACCGGCACAGTCACCCACACCCGTTGTTGCACCACCACCACCACCACCACCAGCAGCACCCTCTCCCTCCTTTGAACCACCATCACCACCACCACCACCATCACCCGCCCGTGCAGCACCACCCTCTTTGTCGGCGGGCAGACCAGCGCCGCAATTGAACATTATAGACGATGTGGACGATCGCACCGATCTGCTGGAGCTCATCGAAGACCGACGGTCGGGCAATCGGCTTTTCAAGGTCCTGGAGCAGCGCAACATGACCCTGGAGGAGCTGATCGAGCACCGGAAACGCGGCTCCAGCCAACTCCATCTGTCCACCATTGTGAGCGGCGGCGACGAGCACTCGCGTCTGTATCCTGGCCAAAAGGTCCTGCTGCAGGACAACATGGACATCGTGACGGCCTTCGAGAATTTTCCGCACTTCAATCTGATGGACCTGAAGAGCGTCAAGCCCGATGAGATCAAGACGGACTCGCAGGGCTCCAGCTACTTTACCTCCATCATCGACATTGAGCCAAACGATGAGGTCAAGCCCATGGGAAATCGAGGTATTACGGCCTTGCGATTGCGCAGGCAACGCCAGCGGTGGGCCGAGGGGAGGGGAGGGGCTGGGGTTGAGGATGGGGGCGTGGTCAGGGGCGGGGGCGGTGGCAGTGGCAGAAGGGGTGAGGGATCTCTTGCTCCTTCGCGGGCTCGAACATTCGAAAACACTTATTAACCAGTTGTCCCTTTTTCTCTCAACAAAACATACCCAATAACCGTTTTAATTATATATATTATCGATTAGTTTCCGTAAGTTTGAAACCAAGCGAATGGCAATACAAACTAGAGATACATATACACATATATATGAAGCAAATAAAGTTTATAAATTAAATGATTAATAGCAAGAAATGCTGGTAAAATGGATTTAAATAGCCTATAAGGTCCCTGCCTGCCAGCTGCCCAAAAATTGCGTTACCTTTAACCTGTATAATACCCTCGTTCGACTGATGAGTCGAATACACATCGAGATTGTGTACAAAGTCAACAAAAATTAAGGTTTGCAAGCTTAAAATATGTTTTTTTGCAGCTGGTTGTAAACGATGCAGCGGTTACGTTGCAAATGGTTTTAACTCTTTTTTAAAATCATGTGTCTAATTGATTTTTAAAAAAGGTAATATCTTAATTAGTGGAAAATACATAGTGATTGATTGCATTATAAAAAGCTTTAGAATTGAAAAAAAAAAAAAAAAAATGTGCAGCTGCACCGTTTACAACCAGCTAAAAGTGACGCCTTTTAAAGCGGTTTAAAGTCTTTTACAAAATCGTATAATATCTAAATTAGTCAGAGTTTAGAATGAACAATATTGAGAACGTTCCCCGCCCATTTCTCTGCCCATATCTTGCTCTCTTTCCTGTCGTTCAAATTGCGGTTTCTTTCAGGTCCCGCCTACGCGCAGACATCTTCATCATCGGCGACGATTGGAGCGGGCACGGGAACGATATCCATCAATTCGCGGGGCGAGAAGTCACTGGGATTCTTCCCGTCGTGGAAGACCCTGGCACTGGCCTCCCTGGCCACGGCCACGGCCACCGAGGAACGGAATCCGTACTTCCTGCCGCCGCCACGACTGCTGCTGGATGGAAGCAGTTCGCAGGAGACAAACCAGGAGGACCAGGAACCGGACCAGAACTCACCAGGCGGTGGTGGTGGTGGTGGTGAGCCCACCAGCATCGACATCGACCTGAGTGTGAGTCCATATGGGGGCAGCAACTCCTCATCGATGCTGGACAACAGCCGACTGCCGCCGAGCCCCAACGATGATGATGTGATCGATGAGATCGAGAATGAGGTGGCACGGGCACACGACCTCCTGGATCTGGAGCTATCCGGTCCCGGTTTCCATCGCAGTCCGGCGGCAGCGGCGGCCACGTCCGCCGTATCGCAACAGCATCTGGGCAGCCTGTATGCCAGCATGCCCTCGGGCATTCGATCAGCGATTGTGGCCAGCACGGCCATTGTGATCACCGCACTGGCCACGTTCCTGGTCATCTTCGTGGTGTACCGCTGGAAGCAACAGCGGAGGCGGAAGAGCAGCTACCTGCGGACCTACAATGCGATGAAGAGCAAACTGCCGCAGATGGTGCAACCATCGCGTCGCTCCTCGATGCGCCAGCACATGGAGGAGCTGGTCGTTAGTTCCGGTTCGGGATCGGGATCGGGAACGGGAGTGGGATCGGGAGCGGGCATTGCCAGCATCTCCACGTCGGTGGCCTGTTGTACGCCCGTCCATCAGCTGCAGCGGCAGAGCTCCCTGCTCTTTGCACGCGATGGATCCGCCACATTGAGCACCGCCACCTCATTGACCACGAATACCAGCACAAACACCACCACCATTTCAACGGGGGTGCAACCACCGGCCCCGCCGGAGGCTTTGAGTGGGCGTGGCCTGGCCATTTCGCTTAGAAATGCCCACCAGAAACTGAACACCATGGATCCCAATTCGCCGGAGGTGCAGGAATATCTCTTCGACACGCTGCGCAAATCCTTCGACAATTAGGCATTAGGCAGTGGGCTCCACTAGTAACAATAGACCGTTGTTTAGGCCAAGTTTTATATAAATGTACACGAAAACACACACACACACACACACAGCCCCCCCACACAAGCAAAACATACCCACTAACACACACACACACACACACACTCAACGCGAAGGAGCAAAAGTTAGTCGATTAATTAGTTTAAGAAGGTGGAATTTTTTTTAGCTCGATTAGAAGAACATTCTGTGAGAGAAAGTAAAACTAACAAAACAAAAAAAAAAAAAAAGCCTAGAAAACACAATTAAACAGTGCATGGCATGGCCATAAGGTAGTTTAAAAAACAAAAAGGGTTACAATATTCAAAAGATTGTGCAGGCTTACAGTTTTTAGCCTTTCCTTTTTCATTTCTTTACTTTTTATTTCTTACTTCCGTTTTTCTTTACTTCTTAAACAAAATTTGTTGAATTTTTAAATAAACAAAAATGTTGGAAGAAATTAAAAAAAAAAACTTGATTTAACAAAAGAATATCATCTTATATCTAATACAAAAATTACTATACTGCATACTTGTTTTTACAGAATATAAAACAACAATTTTTTTTTGAGAAACCTAACTTTAAGCCGCCCTACGTTTATGCCGCGCACTGTTGCTAGTCCCTAAGCTCGGCAAACTATCGTTTCCAACTATCTAGAATCCTAGATCTAATGTACGAGTATAAATTGTCAACTAAACCGACTCTTTCAACTAAATTATAGGACACGGCATACAAATGGGTTTCTTAAGTGCGAGATAAAAACAAACAAAAAATGAGAAAACTAACTTCAACAATGACAGAAAGACCAGAATCTAAGCCAAAAAGTACAGTTGTGTTCAGACACTTCCCGAAAAGCCCAAATCGAATATATATTGAAATTCGTGAGAGAAGAAAAACCATTTATGAGGACAATAAATATTAATGAGAGGAGTACGAGAAAAAAAATGAGCAAAAACTATGTTCGAGACGATTTTACCAAAGCAAATTCCTTTTTGACACTGACAAACCAAAATTAAATTGAAATTAAATCAAGGCAAGGTATAGATGGGCGCTAGATGGGCGTGGTTATAAGCACAACAATACCAGCAACGATAACACTAATAGATTAAATGTTCAAATGCACTGCAAAAAGTAAAAGGAAAATAGAAAGAATACTTGTATTTAATTTATAGAGCAGACACTTTATTTTCAATTTGATTTGATTTCATTAACACCCCGCCCCTCTCACTCAGCAGTAGAACATCTGGCGACAGTATATATATATATAAATATATATAAATATAATTATATATTTAAGCACGCTCAAATATGTATGTAAATAAGTTTCAATTTGATTTTTTTGAGAAATAAAATGTAGAACAAATTGTGGCAAAGAATGCAAACATTTTGAAAATACTTAAATGAGTCATTCAATGGGTTTATTGGACGACTGCCGAAGTTTGGTGTCGAAATAGCGGCCGGCCCTATAAATATAGAAGCTAATGGAGAAGCAGATCCCGAAGTCTGCCCAGTGCACCATGACCCGTCCAAAGTGGAAGCGGATCCGTGAATAGATCTTCGCCCAAACAAACAATGCGATCGCAATGCCAGACGGGAAGGTCAACAATGATCGGGCAATCCGGCCATATGTACTCTCGATTAAAAACAAACAGCACCAGCTGTGCATCTAATTTATGGCCAAAGGGGACAACTGGCAGATTTAAAGGTTTCTCTACAAAAAATAAGGTAGCCAAAACTAGAACAGAATCAAACTTAAATAAGAATAATACATCATGATCAGCAGGAATTAACGAATTGAAGAGACAATATTTAGCTCACTGAATTTTAAAGTTACAAAATCTACCTGTATGTCATTAGAAATCATTCAAGTGAATTAAAATAAATCTGGGAAAAAACTAACGAACATGCAATTGTTGCAAATATTTAGAACTATTTGGGAACTAATATACAAAGCTAACAGGATGTGATTTTTTATAATTTTAAAAGGTTTTTAAAGATGTTGACTAACCTAAAAGCAAAGTATTAACATCAAAACCAGTATTTAACATATTTAAATGTAATACCAACGTGTATATATATATCAAGGGAACCACGAATATAAAAATATTATTTGGAATATTATTTATAATCATCTTAATTAAGTTTAAAACCCTTAAAAGGGTTTAGAAATCTGAAGGAACATAAACATTATTTAACTCACCTGTAGAGGTTGTAGCAGAGTCCCTGCATCATGAGGTAAAAACCCTTGTCATCGAAATGATGCCCATTGATGGTTGTCTTGCCCAGAATGTGGAAATCCCTGTAGAGGAAGGCGTATTGCTTGGCAATCACACGGCACTGACGCAGCGCCATGGAACAGGCGGCGGTGCCGCGGAGTCGCTCCATCTGCTTGGTGCTGAAGTACAGTACGGTATTGTACCTGGCGGGCAGGACATCGATGTAGGGCCGCCACTCGCTACGGTCCCCACTCAGCTTCTCGACGATCAGGTCGTAGGCCAGTGTCAAGTGGGTGGCCTGTTGAAAGTTGCCAAACTGCCGGCAATTGGAGTTGCTTTCCTCGGAGAAGATGAGTGCGCGTGGCACACTGAGTACCAGCTCATCCTTCTCCAGTTGGCGGGTGGCGCGTAGGCCCAGTTGGTAGCCCGGAAAGATGGCTATCTGCAGTCCCTCGCTGCGGACACCACCGTTTTTGGCCCACACGCTGAAGGCTTCGACTTTGGCCAACCGATTTTGATCGTCGGGTGAATCGCTGATCTTTGGGCAGACCACCCGGCTGAGTGGCTCCTCCAGGACCATGATTTGATGGAGAAGTTGCTGCAGCTGCTCGTACTGCCGCCATTCCTCGACGGGATTGGCCGGCTGCTGCTCCACCAGATCGAGAAGTTGGCCAACTAGCTTTTTTAGCTGCTTTCGCGATTCGTCGTTTGGACTGGGCAATAACCTTCCCCAATCATGACACATATAGCTGGGTGCCTGAAAGGAGCTAGTTTTCCTCGTATTCGGATCCTTATCCTGCGCTTCAGATGGAGATGCAGTTGCTCCGGTTTGTTGCTGCTGCTGCTGCTGCTTCGCCTTCTTGTTGCGCTTGCTGTTTTTGCCCATGGTGGGAGAGAGATAGAGAGTGTGCGACAGAGACGAAATGCAAAGCGGTACCGGCGGCCCAAAACAACAACAGCCAAATAAGGAAAATCCAGAAGGAAAACCGCACGCGGCGATCAGCTGGCCGGCAGTGTGACCCTGCGCCGAGCGCCACAAAAATACTTGGCCATTTTTCCGTTGGAATATATATCAAAGTCCCTAAATATACCAAATTGGAAGGAAGGCAAATTGCTGGTCACACTAATTATTGATTTTACAAGGTAGTTACATTTAGGGTATTCCCCTTTTGTTGAATTCTTGAGTTTTCAACATAAAAATGTAAAACGATATGTTTTTCATAAGAGTGTGATAACGATTGAATTTCTATTTAACAACCAAAAACCATTTTATTTGAAAAGCAAATAAATTAATATGCAAATTGGCGGTAGCAAAACAATTGCTACCTTGTTTTTTAATTCTATAGTTGCAATAATCCATAAGCCAAATATTATTTTACTTGTTATTTTCTCTTATTCTCTTATTATACTTTTATTTTTTATAAAAAAAATAACCTAAATTTGTAAATTATAAAGAGGTTAAAAAAATGTATCAAAACTATTAGCAAATCGAATGCAATATCCTTTTTTATTATGCTTCTCTGTTGTTTTTTCGTTTTTTCAATTATATTTGGCAATGGCCTCGAGGGTTATCTTGAACGTCCTCCCCGATTGCATATTGTTTTGACACACATATACCTGATAACAAGAAACCTGCCAAAAATAGAAATATTATTGGAGAAAGCCGGCTAATAAAATAAAAACTTATATTTGATTTGATTTGTCCATTTTGAATGTATTATTTCACAAATAAGGCCAAGGACGAAAATCATAAAAAAAAACTTAGGAATTATAATGTTCTCATAATGAAATAAAAAGTATAAGTCCTTAAGAGTATTTTTTGTCCTTTATTGTTATCGATGCTGACCCAGAAAAAAAAGAAGATAAGAGCCCAGCAGATCAGTACGCACTTTGTACCCTCGCGCACTAGGGTGAACCTAGGTTTACATCTAAAAACCTGTTAAACCGATCTAAAATAATTATTCTAAGATAGCATTAAAAATTAGTTTAAAGAAATTGTTGATATTTTCTCGAAGCTGTTACTATTACATTAATGTTGCATATATAAAAATGAACATTATTTATCTTAGGTATATTATTGTATAGGTATGACAACAAAACCGCTTTTATTAAAAGCGTCGCCCGAAATAAGGTCAATCCTGAGGCGCACAGATACTTTCAGTTCTCAGTTCAGTGACTCCTCTGAAGCAACAACACCGGTTGGAGCAGCAACAAGTCAGAACGAGAAAGAGAGGCAGTGGCGCATACTCAGAATGATCCAAGGGGGTACAGAATCCATATTTTAGCATATATACACTTAACCTCTTTTTTCTAATTTAAAGATATTTATATTTTTTTTTAGTTTTTTTAAGCAAATTAGTTTATGTTGCCTTTTTATAATTATTTTATGAGAGGCTTTGACAACCTATTTAAATAAATGGTTCCTATATATAATATGTATTTTTTGTACATTTTTTTTAAGCGAAAGGGGTAGACTAATAAATATTAACAGTATAAGTGATGCGGATTCTGATTCTTATAAATATTACTTCATTTAAATTTACTTGTTTTTCCGAACAAATCCCTAAAAATAAAATATATAAATATTTCAAATTCTTAGTAACTTAACTTAGTTTAAACATTTTTTAGAAGAAATCTTTTTTTGGCTAACATATTTGCATTTTTAATAACAACTATGCTTTTTCATCCATTTAGAAATATTGCCAACTGTTTTAAGATTTCGTTGTATTTTTTTTTACGGCATTGAAGCTCTTGGCTTTAAGTGAGGTAAACCAACATAAGTTATCTAGATTTTTATGGGGATTTTAGCATGGGAGTAATGGGGACCCCCATTTGTCGACGCCCTTGTGGACCTCGCTTCTATGCTTTGTACTGCAAAAATGTTTTTTGCAACCATCAGTGCTCAGTGCAATCGAGCAGTTTGACGGGATAGGTTGCAAAAATCTTGGAGGAAAATAAAACCCAGAGAGGGAGATCGAAATCGAAATCGAAATTGAGATCGAGACCGCATACGCATATAGATCATGTCGGTGAATGCGGATCTGCAGAAGGAGCGGGCAGCGGCCACTTTGGACAGCGAGGACTTTGCCCGCTGGTGGGCGGGCGGTGCGTTCCAGTTGGAGGAGCGTCGAGCCCTGGAGCGCCGTTTCTACAACGATCCCGACTTCGCGGAGGCAGTGCATCCGAGCTGTCTGTCCTACAAGGAACGCTACGAACAGACGGTGGCCCGCTCCACCCGATTCCTGGCCAAACTGCGCCAATGGCAGCGAGAGAAGCAGCCGCAGTTGCAGCTCGATGTGAGTACGCTGAGGGACTTTCGACTGCTCCTCTCCGGCTCCCTGGGCACCGGACTCTTCCAGCAGAGTTTCCCCCTGCGGGTGCACTTCTCCATGTTCATGACCACTCTGCTGGGCCAGGGCACCGAGGAGCAGCAGGCCCAGTGGCTGAATCGCTCCTGGCACATGGACGGCGTCCTGGGCACCTATGCCCAGACGGAACTGGGCCACGGCACCTTTGTCCGTGGCCTCGAGACGCGGGCGGACTACGATGCAGAGCGGCAGGAATTCATCCTGAACACACCCACCCAGAGTTCGTACAAATGGTGGCCCGGCGGACTGGGTAACACGGCCAATGTGGCCATTGTCCTGGCCCAGTTGTATGTGCGGGGCAAACACTATGGTCTGCAATCGTTTCTGGTGAGGATTCGGGACGAGAGCAGCCATGAGCCGCTGCCTGGCGTCGATGTGGGCGACATAGGACCACGTCTGGGTGGAAATGGTGTTAACAATGGCTTCCTGGGACTCCACGACGTGCGCATTCCACGAAATCAAATGCTAATGAAAAACGCCCAGGTCCTCGCTGATGGCACCTTTGTCCAGGGACGACCTCCGCTGCTGCTCTACGGCACCATGGTCTATGTGCGGGTCATCACCCTGAAGGATGTGCTCTTTGGATTGCTGCAGGCAGCCACCATTGCCACCAGGTGAGCTAGATTAGATTGTGTATTAGCAAATGCGGCTGTCACAGCTCAAACAACTCTTGTTTTTAACTCTATAAACTGCAGTAATCAGAGAAGATTGCAGAAAGTTTATGTAGGTCTTTTCAGATTAGAATCGGATTATCTTTTTCTTTACCTTCATACATGACAGTCTTTTGAATGCGTAGGAAAAGTTTGCAACGCATTTATATCATAAAAAAAACCCGAACATAAAAACAAATCCGTTTGATATGGTTGACAATTATTCAGTAAGAAATTAGACTTCAGGTATTTTTCAAAGTAAGTTTTCTATACTTTGATACTATGTAGTTATTGATTATCTTTTTTTTTTTTTAATCTAAATATAAACCACTTAAAATTGACTTGCACAAAAATACCCGTTAGTTTATAAATTCATTTCCTATCAGATTTTAAAATGGTACATTTTTATAATATTCTTCAAAAATATAAATTTGTTTTAGGTAATTTAACAAAGAATATTTGTAATGTCTATTTGTTGACGATTATTTTTGCCCTAAATAAAACTTATTTAATTTGTTAAATATTTGTGGCTATATAGCATTAACATATCTTTGAAAAGAGAATCAATATTTTAAGATATTTAAAATGAAACTCATACTAATGATACAACTCCCTGATTTAAGTTATTGCAAATCATAATTACCTCATTTAAAATGCTTACCTGTTCAACTATCCTTCTTCAGGTATTCCGTGGTGCGTCGCCAGAGCCGCATTGATGAGGATCGGCCGGAGGTGTCCGTCCTGGATCACACCACGCAGCAGGCCAAGATCCTGCCGCAGATTGCCCGTGGCGTGTGCTACCGCCTGGTGTCCGATTGGCTGTGGCGCTTCTACGAGCAGGTGCTGCAGCAACTGGAGGGCGGGGGCAAGGGGTTCGACACTGGCGGAAGGGGCAACTCGCTGCCGGAGCTGCACGCCCTGAGCTGCTGCCTCAAGGCGGTGGCCACCGACGAGGCCACCGAGGGTGTGGAACTGCTGCGAAAGAGTTGCGGTGGCCATGGCTTCCTCTCGTCGGCCAACTTTGACAGCATCCATGGCCTGACCGCCGCCGCCTACACCTACGAGGGCGAGTATACGGTGCTCCTGCTGCAGACGGCTCGCTTTCTGGTCCGCCAATATGTGGACAGTCTGAAGCGGAAAGTGCTGCCCGCCAGTGTGTCCTATTTGAGGGATACGGCTCGTCTGGCCTGGGGCAAGGACCTAACGGCGAACTGTGTGCGGGCCCTGGAGATTTCGGCCCTGGAGCAGGTGCGCCAGGCGTGGCAGAGCCAGAATGGTCACAAATCGAAGAAGGTGAGTGCCGAGATGGCCAGCAATCTGGCGGGCAGGCAACTCACCGCGGCGGCCATTGCCCATGCGCATGCCTTCTTCACGCGGAATGCGCTGGATGAGTTGGCCAGTCTGCGGCGGAGGGGTGATCTCAGCCAGAATGTGTCCCACGTTGTGGGCCAACTGGTGGAGCTGTTCGTCATCGACACATTCCTGCGACAGGCGGGCTGCGTGCTGCGCTGGAACAGCGGCTTAAATGGCACCCAGCTGCGTTTCGTGGAGCGTCGCTACGAGGAGCTGCTGGCCCAGTTGCGTCCCAATGCGGTGGCCCTGGTGGACGGCTTCGACTTCCACGATCGCGTCCTCGGCTCCACGCTGGGCTGTCACGATGGTCGCGTCTACGAGCGACTGATGGAGGAGGCCCGCAGGAATCCGGTCAACCAGGAGCCAGTCAACGCGTCCTTCCACAGTCACCTGCTGCCCATGATGCGGGGAAAGCTGTGAGACAAGGATGGGATAGGAATCTCCTTGCTGGCACATTTTATCATAACCATTTTTTTTTTTACACCTATCTTAAATATGATTGTTAATTAATACGTTATTAAAGTTCTACAAAACTATTTACACTAACAGAGGTTTGCATTTTTGAATACAATAAAATGGTTTTCCAATTTATATTACTTTTTAACTTTTGTTATCTGGTTTATATATTTTTATATATTTTTTATAAAATAAATTACTAACCAAAAACAAAGCTGCCTATAATCTGGTCAAAGACTGGAACTAAATTTCAACACTATTTAGTTAAAAAAAAAATAAACTTCAATTCTTTCCTATTTCAATTAATAACTCATTTTGAGAATTACATGAATTTTTCTTTTTCTCTTAGTTGCTAAGCGTTTTCTGTTTTAATTAGAATGACAATCGTAGTCCGTTTAAAGAGTGTAAACTCATTAATAATATATATGTATGCATTAGGTATCGCCACTTACCAACTGAAATGATTAGCTTTCCATTGATGTAGTTGTCTTTTTCGTTTTATTCATAACGATTTACACTGTAGGCATATAGAATTAAGCTATTAAATTAGTTTACACCGATATATAAAGACTGGGGGGACACACACACAAAAAAAAAATAAAGAGGCAATTGGAAAATTGGACAACCGAGGGGCGGATCATCTAGAACATCTTCTTTCTGACCGCCGTGTAGCGCTCCATGTAGACATCGTAGCCATCGAGATCGGTGAACTGCTTGGAGTTGAACAGGTTGCCATCGACGGCCAGGTTGCAGATCTTCGAGTCCTTCAGGATCCGTGGTGTGAAGGCCACCGCCTGCAGGCAGTTCTCCTCGAGCCGCAGGGTCTTCAGTTTGGGACAATTGGCCACGTCCTCCGCCAGCGAGGATATTTGGTTCTGATTGAGGTTCAGTTCGGTCACATAGAGACCACCCACCTCGGAGGGCACCTCGGTGATCCTGTTCCTCGACAGATCCAGGACATCCAGCTGCTTGAGGCCACACAACATGGTGGGGAACTCCTTCAGCTGGTTATTGCTCAGGTTCACCGTCTTCAGGTGGCTGCAGTTCGCCAGTGTTTTTGGTAGCTTAGTGAGCAGATTGTCCATCAGCAGGAGCACCTCCAGTTTGGCCAGTTCGCCCACCACTTCGTTCAGTTCCACCAGTCGATTGCCACTGAGATTTAGGTGTTTCAGCAGCGTCAATTTGCCCAGTTCGTCGGGCACTCGCTCGAAGCGATTCTCGGAAAGATCGAGGGTTTTCAGGACATTCGGGTAGGCTTTCAGCTGCGGCGGGAACTCCTGAAGGCGCTGCAAGGAGATCTTCAGAATGCCCGTCTTTTGGGCCGTCTCCAAGTGCTGTTTAATCTGTTTATTGCCCATTTTGCCAGGCTATCACCAGTGGACAACAAGGTGGCTCCTCCGCTAATCAATTAGTGCAGTGGTTAACCGATGACTAATCCTGGTCTCAAACTCTGCTTATTTGAAGGGTGCGGCCTTTGTCCCTATGTCCCTAGGGCTTTATTGCAAAACAAACACTTTTAGGAACTTGCAGGTGGCCAAAACAATAAAATAATTAATTATATACGATGTCTTGGCGCAGTGTGACCGTACTTGCAATAGGTGAAAATACCGCAAATACTTAGAAATATGCTTTAATGGAAAGGCACCTAAAATACGTGACTATCTGGAGTGAAACTTAGCTAGACGCATGCTAGCGGAGACACAAACCAGCTACAAAATTAAAAAAACTTAAATTTAAATTTAAAAAAAATTTAAGGCTTTTAAAGAATGCAAGCCATTATTGCAATTAATAGCTATAAATAATATAGAAACTTTAGTATATTATAGAATTTAAATATTTGTCCGTTTTTTTATCCGAATATGAACATCTTTTTTAAAATAAGCTCGAAAAACCCAAAAAAAGCATGTGAAATTTTCGCCAGTTGTAAAAAGTTTTTTATTTCATATCATATTTTAGTGTCAAATATATATATGAATGTATATATAAAACCTTTGCAATTTTCGTCTAAAACTACACAATAAACTTAACATAGCGCATTTTATTCTCTTCAGTTGCTTCCCCAAAAAAATGATTTGTTTCAAACGCTTCCGATGGAAATCTACAAACTATTATTATGAAAGACTCAAAAGCAATATTTATTTGTTATTATATTATCGGTTGGTTCCGAAGCGTTCAAAACATTACTCAATTTCATGCAAAAATAGTGCATCTTATTATTTTCTTTTTCTTTTTTTTGTGGGAATTCTCTTTTTTGTTTTAGTGTTGTTGTCTATTTATAAATAAAAGCTAGGTATTAAATTAAAGTTTAAAATTAGGAAAAAAAAATGATTTTGTCTGCAGAAAAAACACAAGGAAAATCTCTTTTCTTTTTTTTCTTTTGTTTTGTTATAATTGATGGAAAATCAAAAAATAAAATTAAAATAAAAAAAGGTTGTCTTTTCTGCCAAGCGATTCGAGTTGTGATCATTGATTAATCCATGTTTATGATAGTTTTAGGTTTGGCGGTAGGGAGTAGGGGTTAGCGGGTAGGGGTTAGGTCGAAAAGGGGTCAAAGGGGTCAAAGGTCAGGGCTTAATCACAGAACTACCAAAAAAGGGCGTCGGGGAGCGTGGCTCTGTCCAGGGCTTGAGTTTCAACTAAGTAGTATGATTTGTGCTAAATAAAAATAATAATCCAAAACAGAATTTGGAATTTGGGGTATCGGACAAAATGATGGGGACAACAGGCCGGGTATTTGATATATCGTAGGGCATATCGGGGCATCTCTCTCATATCCTGTCTACTTGGCACGATCGTGCTTGGAGGGCTCCACCTGCTTGGCAAACTCGCTCATCACATCCTTATAGATGACCGGATCGAGATTGCGGCCCAGCATGTAGATGAGCCACCAGTCGCCGATATCCAATTTCCGGGATAGCGAACGACAGATCTCCATCGGAATCATGCGATTGCGGGCGTTCAGCAGACGGGGCCGGAATTTCGGCATGAAGATGATGCAGGCACTGCAAAAAAACGAAATATTCAATTACTGTTTATAATGTTTGGGTGTTTAAAGAAAATACAAGAAAAAAAAAACAATAGAGTGTGGGTTAACTAAATAGTAACACAAATTTCCACAATATTTATTATTTAAATGTATTTAAACAGCATCTTACCGGAACACCATCAGTCCGATGAGCAGAACGAGCAAAATCCAGAACCAGAACCAGATAAACACGTAGGTCTTCTCGTTCACGATGTTCAGTGGCAGGATGCAGAGGGAGTCGTGCTTCTGCAGCGATCCGGAGGCACCATACTTGTGGAAGGTGCACTTGGTGACCCGAGGGAACACATAGACCATGGGGTCCACCCGCTGCTCCTGCGGGACATCGGAAAGTTTCATTATGTTGGTGCCGTACGAGAGGAACTCGCCGTCGAAGAAGCGATTCATCAGATACATCTGCACGATGATATTTATGCAGCAGAGAACTTCACAGGCCCAATACCGAATGGCGTACAGCTTGTGGCGCTAACAATAGAAAGATATAGAAATACGTTCAGTCAGCTATCTGGAAGAAGCCAATCTCCGATCAACACCCACCTTCACGTGCTTAATTAGATAGTCCAGCAGGGCATCGCGTTTCGCCTCCTTCTCCTCGCGAGTGCAAATCGTGATATTCAGGCCCATCACAATCATGCGCATCAGGCCGCCCTCGAATTTATTCCACAGGAATTTGGGTGTATAGCAGGCCATGGCCTAAAATAAATTAGTAAATATATATTTTTTAATTATATTAGATTTAGTTTGAATTTGGGATTAAAATTTTTTTTTATTGCCTAATGAACCCATTATTAATTTCGTAAAAATGAAAACCCTTTGTTATAATGTTTGCATTTGCCAGCTGAAATGTCATATGGCAATAGGGCAGGAATGTGTTTCAACAAACATTTTTATTGAAATCTGTCGAAGCACTTGACACATTGTTGTTGTTGATTTTGTTGATGTTGTTGCTGTTGTAATTGCCACTGTTCATGTTGTTCGTGCTATTTAGCAAGTCATTAATTATATTTGGTATTTCACAAGTCCGAAACACTTTTGTTGCGCTTTTCTCATTTGTTTCCGCCGCTTGAGCAATACGTTGACCCATAGCCGATCACAAAAGCCCAGTCCAAATGCACAGAAAAAAAAGGGCAAATCAATCAAATAAGGGTTCCTTAAATAATAATCTATTTATCTGCTACTGTGTTATAAAAATATAACCACCTTGTTTACTACACATTAAATTATTTATATATTTTTATAACATTGATTATTGTAGTAGATGTTTCACAAAAAGATATACAACTTTCTACCAGTGTATGATAGCACTCCCCTATATCTCACTATATATCCACGCATGCCACGCATTCAATTGAACTTAATTGGAGCGATTGCCTCTGCGAAGAAGAATCGAGACCACAAACTATGTTTGTGTCCATTGCTGCACAGAAAAAAAGTAAACGGATCTTTACGATTCTTCCATAATATTATATTATGATATCGTAATCTTTTAAGCTAACCAACCGACAAGTGTAAATTTGTGAACACTCATATCATAGAGATACGATAATTGTTTGTTTATTAGTAATCTGTGTCTAACATTTGAATCTGATTCAGGGATCTTAGCTGGTAAGATTATCTCAGGTTATATTACCTGCTACGAAACTTACCTGGAAGAAGAGTACGAAGCACACCCACTGGTAGTAGGTGTAGTACTTCTTGGCATCCTCATCACCAAAATCATTGGCCACACCGGGATGGGCCACCTCACGACCAACCTGAAGAAGAATGTAAGAAACCAAAACGAATTAAAATAGCTTAAATACAAATATAAAAAAAACAAAAACAACTGAAAATAATTATAAAGGTATTATTATTATTTGTTTAACTTAAGATATCTGCTTCACAAGATCACAGATGGTTATACCAAGACTGTAATCTACACTTAGTCAGTCACTTCAGATAGCCACAATTAATTTAACTAGCCAACTAAATGGCGACTTGAGTTTCCAGACAGGTCTCCACATGGTTTCCCTGTTTAATTCCGCCCACACACTGCAAACAAACTTTAGTTCACTTATTTAGTGCGACTGGCGGGAAATTTGATCGGTCAAACTGTCGAAAATAAAAAAAATTCCACGAAATCGTGAAAAGGAGTTATCGGACAGTTTCCTGCCTTGCATGAAATATGAGCCAAACCTTAAGAACATGTACACAAGGAGAAAAATTATGCATACTTATTCCACTTAAATATCATCATTAATATATAATAAATATTAAATGAATAAGTTCAATTTAATAATTGATTATGCCAGTTCAAAGATCACAATAATAAATCGAATTCGAATGAACTGGATTCTTATTATTATTAGCAATGTTTTTATTATTTGCCATATCCATTTAAGGACTGCAATCTATGCATTTAAAAGATTGAAAATCGATTTAAAAATGTTTGACAAGAAATGGAGAGAAACAACTAAGCAAAAGAATAAGTTTTAATAAATTTACCTAAAATAAATTTAATTGATCAGGGTTCAATATTTTTTTTCGGTGTTGGGGGACAGGGGAGTTCCACCCGTGGGGAATTCAATTTCGGTTTTTTTTTTGGCGTTCTTGATTTTGTTTTTGTTTTTTTTTCCACTGCAAACGATTGTACAAATCGCTGCCCGCAGCAGAAAGGAGGAAGAAGCAGACAACGCCCAGTTTATAATTGCTTTATAGGCCGGTCTTGAATTATGTGTGTGTACTGCACATATCATATACGCGTATGATATACCTTGCTTCTCCCCAAAAGGGTCGGACGTGTCCCGCGTACAGAAAACTTGACAGGCAGACAAAAAACTAAACAAAAAATGGGATCGAAAAGGTTTTTGCAGTGGATGAGAGGTATACCATTTTAATTGTATAGTGCCGGAGATCTGGATTGAAAAGGAAGTGCTTAGATTGAAAGGAAATAGCCAAGAAGCGATGGGTTTTTGAAAATGTTAAATGGGGTAAAATGTTTATAGGAAACTTATTGTACTTATAAAGGAGGTACTTATTTAACTGAACTAGTTGGTTGACTGGTCTGTTATTTACTTATGAATTGTAATATGTTCATAGAAGTTTTAAATTTTTGATTATATTTTTTTGTAATTAAATATTCACAAAATAACTAAAGCATAAAACATTCTTGTTACTAAGGTAGTAGTTTTTCTGCCCAAATGCACAATATTTCTTCCGGACTCACCTGTCTGCGGAAGGCGTCCGGCATGGTGAAGGTGCTGTGGATCCAGCAGAACGTGTTGACCACGTGCGGCGGAACGCCATTGACGATGCAGCTGATCGGCTGGCCCACATACTGGGTGGCGGTGATGATCAGACTGCAGGTGAGCAGAAGCACCGTGGTGAAGGAGTTGTGCAGCCGGAAGACGGCGTTGTCCGTCTGGATGTCCTGCCACTTGAGGTAGCTCTTCAAGCTACCCAGCAACTTGTACATTTTGGCACAGTTTGGGTCTCGGCGGGCGAATCAGGAATCAGGAATCAGGAATGAGGAGTCAGGAGTCGGGATCTTTCAGGATCAGGAGCTTCTCCTCCGGCAGTGTTGTTGGTCGTATCGCAAAAATGGGTGTTATGCTAGACGCGTTCTCAACTTTCTTTTGCCGATTCTTGTCTTGTTTCGTATTCTCTTGCCCTTCAACTTTCGATGCATATCAACTGTAAGTATATAAAAAGATTACAAATTAGATTCAAAATCTAGACGATAAAAATAAAACAAAAATTTTAGCCATACTTTCTTCATAATTTATATATATGATTTGAGTCGGGTTATCAATGCTTTACAAAAGGTTGTTTGCAAAATTGCTATCACTTTTCAAGTTCAATCATCTTTTTTAATATATTTTGATACCAAAAACACAATGTGACAGTGAAAGTCCATTCGTATGGGGTTTAGTTTAATCAAATACAATCAAATTTGATCTCCATTACACTCAATTTAGTTTCTGTGTAGGTAAACTAAGCAAATACAAGGCTGCTATCTCGGTATCTGTGAAGTACATTTCGCTGATTGGAAGACAAGCGACGACACCTCAGCCATTGATGTTTGCCGAAATGTGTAGAATTTCGTCGAGAGCTGTGAGCTTCTGATTGATAAATGCGCAGAGCGTGAGTATTTTGGCATAAATCAACATCAACTAATAGAATCTTGAGACGGTTTCAATTTCAATTAAAGATACATTTCACAGCCACGACGACGATGACGAGCAGAGCAGAGCAGAGCAGAGCAGAGCAGAGCAGCTCAGCACTCTCTTGTCAGCTGGGAAAATTGATGCGCCATTTAAGTAACCAATTGCCATTTGCTCCACTTGCCTGTGTGGCCCGCTGGCATCTGAGACGATTTCAGAGTCCGAGCTCTTTCTTCTGTCCGGCAAAATATCCATCTGGGGGCAATGCACCTCCAGTGGTTCTGTATCGCCCACTCCGCTCGCGATCTTTGTGCAACGCATTTGACCCAAGCGCCACTGGGAGACCCCTTCTCAATTATGTTAAATCGTTACGATTTCGTTGACTTGCGGTATTTCACTCTTGAAGAGATTTTTCTATATGTATTTCGTATGAGTAGCATTCGTATACTTATTTATAGTACATTATTTTATTGTTTATCAATCAAATTCCATCGCTAAAGGCTTGTAGGTTGGTCTTTTCTAACTGTGTTACACACACAAATTGATGTAAAGACTGGAATACTCAAAAAGGTTTTTTTTTAATTGAAAACATTAGTATTCATCTTATTATCTGCATTTGATTTTTGTAAGCTAAGATATAAACGATCCCGAAATTCTTAAGCATTTAAACTAAAACAAACTCTACGAGTTGGAAGTCAAGTTCAGCCACCAAAAAATCCATCTATTAACGCATTCCGCACATATATTGTCTCCTTCCTGGCCCAAAACCCGCCCCTTTTTTTTTGCAGTGCCCCCCTCAACGCTTCGCTGAGTTTGCCTTTGGGTTTTATAAAGTTGCAGCCATATAAACAATGGCCCACCGCCCACATCCTCCCACCTTCCCTTCCCCATTTCCACATTTCCACATTTCCACGTTTCCACACACATGCAGCAGGCACTTGTTGTTGATTTTCTTTAGTTTTCCTCGGCGTTTTCATTGCCAAGGCCATGGGGACCATGGACTGCAAAGTTTTGCTGATAGTTGCGGATTTTGTGAAAATTTCGCTGTGCAAATTGCAATTTGTGTCGAGTTTAGAGAAGGGGGGGAAAACGGAAAATAGGGGGCTAGTTTTAGGTGTCAGCTCTGCCAATTGTTTGGCGAAAAGGTCGTCGAAACTGCATTAATGTTTTTACGTGCCGCCGCTTGACAATCGTCTGTTTTGGATACCCTTAAAATGTAGGGTAATCATATTTAGTCAGCGTAAAGCATATGGAATTGACCGTTTTTATACGATCTTGAATAACTTTAATTCCTAAAGTGACTCAAATGATTTGATTTACATGGAAAAAGTAATATCAATTTTGAATATTTGTTCTTCACAAATTAGGTTTGTATCAGTTATTTAAATTTAAATAGGAAAAACATGTTTCCCTTTTACTTAGTTAACCATTCGTTTCGCTATTTGAATTTTTAGTGACTGTTTCACTTTGCAAATTGATTTAGTCGTTGTCGTTGCCAATTTTGCTGGTGTTCGTACACTTTGTTGTCGGGTCTTTTAAAAGTTTTAACATGCTTAACCTTAACATGAATGCAAACAGCACGAGAGCTGCAATGGCAATTGCAATATTGCAATGGCATTTGCAATTCAATTTGAAATCATTGTTTTTTTTTTTTTTTTGTGTTTCTGCTTTGCGGGAGTCTGTCTCTTGAAGTTGTGACGTCAATTTAATTGCATTCGTCTGAACAACGAGTTAGTTCTGAGTCGAGCTAAGTTGATTCATTTCCATTAGGGTTTGGTTGGTGTTTTATTGGGTTTTTTGTTTGGCTTTGGCTAGCAGCTGGTCGCCAGAGCGGAAGTTGCCCTTCGGGGTGTGCGTGTGTGTGGCACACTAGGGGTGGCATTAAAAAAAACTAGAAACAGACACGGCTCACGCACAGGAAATGACAAATATCTAAGATCAGTACGCAAGATTTTTGTAACCACATTATTGTGTTACGTGAATTACAACATTCAGTTAATAAATATTAGCGGAAAGACTTCACCTTGATATGCTATTCTTATTCAATATTCAATAAATCAGTTCTTAGCAAAAAAAAAATACCAACAAAATCAGTCAACAATTGGCAAACAACAAATCAGTCAAGTTTAATAAAAGTAAGCAAAAAAATTTGTTTAGTAAGTACTAAATCTTGCGATTAAAAAAAGTATCAAGCTTAAATATTGCAAATACGATAACCAGTTATGAAACGTACATATATATATATATATATAAGTTTGAATTTACTTCAAAGAGAAAGTTATTACAACAGACATAAACCTAAATCTCAAGTCCTAAAAGCTTATACCGATAACTATCGTCTCACGCTGCCATCGCTAGCGATCTATTTACGCGGCAGCTGGCCCAGAACAAAACCATTTTGGTCATCCACTTCTGCGGCTAGTAACTTAGCATGCAGCTTGGGAAGGACCGCATCGGATCGGATCGGATGGTATGGTATGTGATGGGATCGTTAGAATGGAGAAACCGCAACATAGCGTGCACATAATAGGGATACTAAGGCTGGGAAAAGGGGCAGATAGAACGGAGAAGAAGGGTGGGAAAGAAGGTGAGGTAAGGTAGTGGTACCCACTACGTGCTCCTCCCCCATTTGAATCCCTGATTGGCGACACATGCTCAAAAACAATGAGTCGCCACTGTTCTGCGTCACCTAAATTGACCATTTCCGTTTGGAGGGGGGGAAGAATTTGTGAGGGGCAAAATGGATCTTTGGGATGCGAAGTGAAGAGATGCCATAGATGTCGCCGAACCCGTCAGACGGGATACTTCTAAGGTAAGCCGATACACGACAACAAAAATCGATACCGAAATAGATCCCATAACAAAACATTATGTATATTATAAAAATATATATGTATATAATCATTTTTTTTTTAAATACAGCAAATTTAACAGATTCGTTATCTCAAACCCTAAATTATTTGATCAACCCATTCTAAAATTAAACATAAATCAGTGAAATTTTTTTTCTGTGTATTTTAAAACACGAAAAATTATGAAGCGAGAAGATTTATGGGAAATAATGAGGAAACGAAAGAAAAGGGGGGATACAGGTGAGGGGAAGATGGGAAAGAGGGAAGCTAATAAGAGGAACATCAAAGAGGAAATGAGAAGTATGCAGAGAAAGGAAAGAGACACGGGATTTCATGAAAATCTAGGAGAGTCAAGCATGTAAAAAGATCACATGAATTTAAAAAAGATAAGTCCGAAAAACCCGAATTTATTTAAAGGATTGGAATGCAAAAGATCAATCAAAAGAGAAAAAATCATAATGCTGATTATTATCAGCTGAGGGAATGTAAAACAAGTAATGCTGATGACTGTTTTTGCGCAATGAACATGACGATTTAAGGTAGCTCAAAGGAATCCGCTCAACCCCAAAGTATTTTTCTATTACAGAGAAGCTTCTTGATTAGTTTTTGGCAATACAAGCCTAGTATTAGTACTCGAAATACCATCATTGTACCTAAAAGAATCCCTAAGAACTCTCGCTGTCACCTGACTACCGATCAAATCCAATTGGCTTAATTGGCTTCTAATCAAAGTAGACGCAGCAGTTGAGATCTCACTTAATCTCAGGGGTTTTAGTTATACAACTAATCCGAATGTCTCTATCTCTGTCCCTGTCGCCCACCTTCTTCAGAAGTCATCTTGTGTTATTCGAAAGCTCGGCTCGAAAGCTTCGTCTTAGACAGCTTTCGTTGGAATGATGAAGAATGCATTTTTGTTCTCTTTTCACTAAGTTTAGGTTTTTTTTTTGTTAATTAACTTACGCAGAATTCCGTTGTCTTTTAGGCTCTTCTTCGGTTTTTTTTTGTTTTGCCTGTCTTCGTATTGTTTTATTTTGTGTCACAGCATGGCTTTTGCGTGTGTGGGTGTGTGTTTGTTTTGGGGCTGCTTCTTCTTCGTCTTAAAATTTGTGTTTTATTTTTCGAATCAGCTGCCAGGTGGCCGTATAGTTAGCAAGGGAACAGGTTCTTAAATGCAGAAAACTGTGCCTTAAATAAGGTTTTTTTTTTCGAAAATAGGTTTTTAAGAAAAACCGCGCACACACACTCACTGGAAAAAATACCAACTTAAAACTGAAATTCTTCAAAACTATGGTAACTTTTTTTAAGCAAGCGGTCTTCTCGAATATTGTATACCGTGTAGGGTTTGTTTTTCTCGATTTTCGCTGGGTGTTTGTTGTGTTTTGAATTTTGTAGTTTTCCTGTGTTTTCGAGCGCCGCGTAGACGCTCGCAATGGCTTTTGTAGCACGCTGTCGCCGTCGCCGTCGACTGCCGCTTGGATTTCAAATTTCACAGCGACTCGCACTCAAAACCGAAGCCCATTCCGTTCTCATTCCATTTCCCATTCCGCGCCATTCCGCTCTCCATTTCCAAGCCGTTCTCTCTCGCTCACTTGAAACTGAAACAGCTGGCGGTGAGAGAAGAGAGAGTTTCGGTTTTTAACTCTCTCTTTTTTGAAACACTCTCTCTCGTTCTCTCACTCTCTTTTTCGCTCTCCCATTTGTTTATTTAAACGAATTAAGCCTTAAATTAAACTGATCGCTAGCAATGAACTAAAATTGGAGCAGCAATTGTCCAGGAGATATACATACTTCTTCTTACCCACTATATAAGTCTTTGAGCTCCCTATTATTTATTTTTCTTTTCCTGCTTGGCTGCCTCGAATTTCGTTTTTTGTTCACTTATTTCGTGCATTTTGGCCCTCTTGATTCGGTTTTCTGTTGTTTTGGCTTACGAAAAGGTAAGGAAAACTCGAAATTCTTAATATGTGCACTGCAAGAAATGTTCGACATGGCTTGCAATGGATCTTACAAAGTATCTTTAAGATTGTTTTCTGAAAGTACCTGAAAACTGTTATCCTAAAAAAGCAATAGAAAGCATGTGTAGTTTTTAAATACATTTATTTTTACTTTAAATTACAATGAATATTTTAAAAAATTAACAAATTTTTAAAGAAAATTTGTTTGTTTTCGTTCTCAGCATGGATGTAGTTTAAGAAATGGTCTCGCATTGGTTTTTAGAAGTGAGCTCAACTAAAAAGTAAATATGCAGTATTCAAAATAAACCTGATTTTGGTAAAAATCTTTGATAAAAGGAAAAGGAGAAACTTTCAATTACAACGGGCGGTAAAAAAAACTTACCTAAATAAAGCGTCAAAGATCATACCGCATTTTACTTTTTATGGTTGAATAATTATGACTGATTGATGGATTGAACTTATATTTCATTCAATTGGTAATTGCTTGAAACGTATTTACCCTATATGATTGTTGTTCGTACATATATCAAGATCATTCAATTGTATGAAAGATCTCATGATATCATTTTTTTTGATATTATAAATATTCGCTGATTTTATTTCATTTGTTTATTTTATCCTCGAACTTAATCTGAATTTTCCCTGTCTCAGCAGGGATTTCATGTGATTCTGGATGGATCTCGATAAGAACGTGTTTCGCGTCGAAAACCGAGTGATATCGGATCCGATTGTTTGCTAAATCTTTCGGCGTGTGCGCACACTTCGTTCTGTCAGTCAGTCATTGAGTCAGTTTGTCAATTGGCCAACCCAGCCATTATGCCCCTTTGATATACATATGTATGGTCAGATCTCAAATTACAGTTATGTCTATACACGATATGTACGCGAGTGTGGGGAGTGTGGGGAGTGCAACCGCATTTCGGCCTGGATTCCCCCGCCCTTTTTTTTTTTTGCTGGTTTTGTCTTACGTTTTGGCCCTAAAGAAATCGGTCGTGTCCCCATCCCCAATCTCCATTGTATCATGCGGCGAGTTCGTGTTGCTTTTAATTTTAAATTAAGGTTTTTTTCGGGCTCGGTCGTCTTGACACGGCCTTTTTATGGGGCCACAATAAATGCGCACTTTCGGGCATACAAAAAGAAATCAAAACCCAAAAAAAAAAGAATGTATACAGACAGGGTAAAATGTTAAGTGCGTTGTCATTGCCACGGACATGAGAAACGAGCAAATGGAGCTCGACTTGAAGCCCCAATTGAAGTTTGAAGTGGTTCGGGGTTATTACACAAGCCACCGAAAACTTTTTCTTGAACAATCAGCCAAAACGGCTGTCCGTTCAAGAGAATTGTCCGTAGTTTTATATATTATTATTAATGTTTATTTCATATTATCTTCTGTATCGTTTGAGATAACATTGTCTACCCCCACTTGATATTTACATTAAATCGACTCGCACATGTGCAATTAAAGGCCAGCAAACAGATATTCTCTTCACACAAACTGTACCCACACGAAATGCCGAAAACATGTGGACAAAGGTATCATTGGTAGTACCTTTCACTTGGCCAAGTGTCACGTCTGTCGCAATCGGTCCATTAACCACACGCCCCCCGCAAGCCTCCGATAGCCCCCTAAGCCCTCACGAAGACATTTAAGTCCATTGACGTACTCGCACCAGGTATCGGTGGTATCGATATCGGTGAACTCTGGTTTGTACGTGAGCAGGAGCACGAACGCTGATTTATACATGTGTATTTGTCTCAGTGTGTTTGGAAATGGAAATGGTCCCTCCTTCAAACCAACTCTCTAGTGGCAAAACTCCTCTCTTCGAGCAACTCGCTCACGCTCACTCATCTGTGTGCAAATCTCACTTCTCGCAGCAGCTGCTCCTGTTTTTGCAACTTCCTTTTTGGGTTGCTTCCTTAAAAGAGGATAAAAAGGGGATGGGGAAGTGAGAGAGAGAGAGAGAAAAAGAGAGAATGCAAGAGAGAAAACAGGGGGTTGCCGACGAGGGGTGTTGCAACTTCCTTTTATGTCTGGCTTTTTCTACACAGAAAAAAAGATCAAAGATCATTATGAAAGAAATAGAAAAAAAAGAAAACTATTAAATATAAAATTCGGACAGCAACAAAGATTAAGTAGTAATATTTCAACGATTTAGATCTATAATTCTATTACCAAAATTAAGTTTGATTATTATTTTATTTAACGCATTCGAATATTTTCTCTTCGTGTACCTGCGTACGTGTACACAATCGAACAAGTAAGATCGACGATCAAAAGGAGTCGTGTGGAAAGTACTGGAATACAAAGGGCACATCTGTGGATGCTGGGGTCCCAGCATCCCGTAAAACATCCAAAGGGTTCTATATATAGAGTGAGACCAGGCATATGTTTTCAAGTAAACGGAGATCGTCAATGTCCGTGGTACTGGAATTCATCACACAAGTTGGAAAAGAATTATCTTGAGATGCTAAAAATAGAGCTCCTTTCGTAAGAAAATAAGCACGGAGTACGAAGATCTCCTGAAAAAATCGTAAAAATTATACCAAGGAATTACCTACTAAAGGCAGCCATAAATGAAGATTTTTTCGAGGAAATTGTATGTTATGATCAAATTAAAAATAGCCCATCTTTTTAACACAAGCTGTATGACCATCAAATTGACACAAGTATATTTTGGCTTAAAACGATATGTTTGACCTTAAAACCTTTTCAATTTGTTATGTTCCCAAGCAAAGTGCCTTTAAAACTGATCATATAATGATCAATTTGACAAACATGAAAAGTACATTGACTTATCTTTAAGTGATCCTCCCTCGCATTGTAACCAAAAATCTAAAGATAGAGCCATTAAAATGAGCCGAAAAACGGCCTTAGGAAACATTTAAATACATATTCAAAGAGCACTTGACTTTTTCCATCATTTGATTCTCTACCAAGCATTGTTAGAACGACTGTTTTTCTGGTTGTTAATGCCCAATGAAGATCATGTTCGGAGCTCCGTCTTGGGACTATAATGAGCTGAAAACACGAGGGCACAAGTGCGGATCGCAATGACTCAATGTTGAATGGTTGTTAAAATTATTTCCCTTCTGGCAGCATTCCAATCTTGGTCACTTTGATTCTGAAGTTACGGGTATAAGTATATATCGGTCCAAAACGAGAAAACCCGCTTGGCTTTCAATTACCAAGTCGTGGGCTTGGCTCGGTTTTTGTTGTGTTGGCCAATTGGGTGGTGGTGCTGGAATACTTGATCGGTTGACAATGCTCATGCTCCCGCTCTCTCTTCACGAAGATTCTCCAGTCCAAGAAGCAGTTGGAGAAACGCAGAAGTAAGTTGAATGGCCTCGTTTTGGTTTGGAGTTGCCCACTCCAATGAAAAGAAACAAGAATGTAAAGGCACTTTGGGATTCGAAGCTTGAAACACCCTAGACGATTTGATAACAATCTTGGCACACACAATTTCCCAGTGGTATAATTGAATTTCTGCCGTCAATTATGATTTGGTAATCATTTTAGGGGTTTTTACCATATTCAGCGAAACCATACCACTTTAGTGAATTTTGTTAGGGATTGGTGCATTTTCAACTACATTTCTAGCTTGATAAGCTTAGTTTTCTTAAATCCTAAATTGCTATGAAATTAAAAAAAAATATTTCCATAAAATCTTTACAGCCCTGGTAATTAGACTTAAAATAGTTCTGAGCATTGTGTAAATAAAGAGATATAAAAAACGCCCACAATTTAAAATATATATAATTAAACAGCTATAGAAACCTTTGGCTTTTATTTTTCAATTACATTTTAAAATATATACAATAATATAATATGCAAAATGAAATGTTTAATTTAATGGAGGCGAAATATATAATCTGATTTTAGTTGTATTAAATAGTTTTTCCTATGTAGCATAAAAAACTGTAATTTATAACACGCAGATAAGAATTAATCTGAATTTTGTAAGCAAACAAAACAAAAAAAAAAAAAAAAAATATCTTATACTTTTTTTTTTGTAAAAATCAATGTACTTGTAAAAATCGGAATACCCATTTGGGTGAGTGTGTGGTAAAACCACCTAAGAAAGCATACCAAAAATGCCAACACAAGCCATAAACTTGGGAGACGAGACAAGGCAGAGGAACAAAGAGCAAAGAGCTGCTTTTGTATCTGTATCTGAAAACTCTGACTCTATGTGAGCCCGTTTGTTTATTTTTATGCTACGCGTCACGTACTAAGTGCTTTTTACCTGTTGCTGGCTGCACAACAAGTTTCAGGTGGGGTCAAAGCCGATAACCGATGGGCCCGGCGATAGCTATTCCCGATTAGCGATTGCCAGGGCGCCAGCCAAGGATGTGTGGTAAAAATCTAGCCCTAGAGACTCTAGCCCTGTTACCTGGTAACCGGTTCTGCTAACAACAAACAACAGCAGCTGAAGTGAGAGAGCCCAGTTAGCGTCAGAGATGCCAAAAGCATTTGAAGTAAGATCTTGACAACTTGATTTGTAAAAATCCTATATATACATATTTTAGTATGCTATATTTTACAATGATATAATTTAGTTTAGTTTTTTTTTTTTTTTTTTTTACGTTGCTTTGTAAAACTGTCTGTAAACCTTTTTTAAATTGTGTTCAAAATGTATTAGATATTGACTTTTGAGCACAAACAAATTTTGAAATATATTATTTTACACGTGTTAATACGCAGATAAATGTCTTAATATAAACGATTGATTAGATGACCTACTTTGCCCTCTGGAACTGGACTAAATATGATTCACAATTCAAAATATAGCCGATCTTGAGTTTGGGAAAGTATTATTTTCTCATACTCAAGACTGGTTTTCAAAGCAGCCTTATAAATATCAATAAAAGTACCCAAAAATTGATTGTCTGACCTATGCTGACCTCTGGAACTGGCTAGTTCTGGCTTGGAAATCGCCGAGCCAAAGCCGCCGCTCATCGCTCCCGCTCTTCATGGCGCTCTCTTTTTGGCCAGTGAAACGAACGGGAACGGAGTCGCAGCGGCGTTTCAGTTCCAGTATAAACTTGGCATTTGCTGACGACGCTGACTTGACTGCTTATTTTGAACAAAGAGTTTAGCCTCGAATTATTGGTGTGACGTAACCATGTGGCACGCCCACTACGCCTGGTTTGTAAGCCTGGCTTTAAGCGTTTTGTGCCTGATGAGCCTGCAAATGCTAACGGTATCGGCGATCGAGTGTTACGTATGCGACACGAGCGATACGGAGCATCCGTTCCAGTGCGGCGAGTGGTTTGAGCGCTACGACGAGCCTGACATCCAGCCCCAAAACTGTTCCAGTGTCCATGGGGCGCAATTCTGTGTGAAACACGTGGGGCGCTTCGAGGGCGGCATCGGCGCAAAAAGATTCTGTAGCTCCAAGGACATGGGAAACTATTGTGACTATGTGCGAAATAAGGGCGATCGTATGGACTATCGGAGCTGCATTTACACTTGTGATACGGACGGATGCAATGCCGCTGGAAGACTGGAACTGGAATGGGGCGTGGCAGCGGCACTCCTCACTCTCACTTGGCTCATACGACGCTGACAGACAGATGGAAAGAGCGAGAGAGAGAGATAAAGCCGCATCACCACTTTATATTTTTTTTTTGTTAATTGTAAGTTGTAACAAAGTAACTGACACACAAAACACTCGATAGTATAGAGAAAAACAAAAACACAAAACCAAAAATATATAAACAAAAATCGAGAAATTAGCTGTTGTTGTATTTGTGGGAACGAAACCAGCTGGAAATGAAACGACAACTGAGCGGGAAACTGTTGGTAGTGAAACAACAGGTAAATCAGAATCTGCTCGATGCTCTCTCTCTCTCTCTCTCTGTCTCTCTATCTGGTACTCTCTTCTTAAGCCACGCTTGCGCAATTCGAGGGCGATACTTAATGGTTTCTATTTTATTTTCATATAACATATACTCTAAGAAAATGGTAAAATGTTAAAATGTACCAAGAATTAGACGCTTACCTATTTAAGGTAATTCACATTATCTTAAAATAACAATAGAATTATCAAAGCTATCTGCTTTAAAAATATTAATACTGTAGTATTAAAACATGTTTCATAATTTCGTATTTAAGGATTTAAAAAAATGAATAAACAATTTTATAACTTTAAGAACTTTTTGTTTATGGCTTAACAAAATTGTGAGAAAATTTAAAACAAAATGTGGATGCTACAGACTAAGTTAAGTCTAGAAAATTGAAATTTAGAAACCATTTAACGAAAAAGGGAGCGTTAAATCTGAGTTATATTTTAATTGGCTTCACCCCAAAATGGTACAACACCCGATGTCTTTTAGATCCGAAGATCACCTTGAGTAGTTCGATCGGTGACACAGTGAAGTCTAAATTCCCAGGGCAATGCGGAGACCGCCTTTTTGAAAGCCGACGACAAACTGGTGACCTCCGATCGAACGGCGAACGCAATCAATCGGAATTGGATTTGACATTCCTCCATTTGGCAATTGAACGAGATCATTTAAGCCAGATCAATTTGCGGCTGGTTGATTAAGCTCAAAGAGAGCGCAACCTGGGGCTAAACGAAAATAAAACATGTACTCCCGCTAAAAGACCAACGGACAGTTCAACGGACAAGCGGACAGACGGACGGACGGACAGTTGCGTAATTGCTTAAATTGAAAGTGCCTTGAGGCGCTATCATTGGGCATGCGACACTAATTCGAGCTGGCCACCGATCTCGGTGAATAAAATAGTGTAAAGCCAAAGAAAAGATGTACTCAAAAAATGGGATCAAAGGTCAAATGAATCTGTGGGAAAATCAATTTAAATATTTCATTTAGTCCTTATAAATCGATCTATGAAATATAAATTAATTTTAACGCTGGGTTTAGAAATAAAAGGCAATCACAATGACCCCTATTTCCAGAGTTTTTTGTCCATATGTATAGAAATATTGAAAGTCCCAAGCTTAATCCAGACCTTCTTTGTAAACATACTTAATCGTGTCGTTTCTTTATCAGCATTTGAACTGACACATTTGCCCTGTCTTCTATCACTTGAGCTTCACTCTCATTACGTTTTTGCCTCGTTTATTTAAAGATGACAAAAAAAAAAAGAAAAACAATATTACGTTTTTTCAATTTTTTTTTTGTTCAAACACAGATAGGAACTAAGGTTGATTGAGAGGTGTTATGGTGTTAAATGGGATGGAATAATGTGAGTGACATTTAAAATGTATTCTAGTGATAGGTGAGTTTAGTCATCAAACTAGACTTAATATTCTATATCTTTAATGTATACTTATTATGGAACTATGATGTCAAAGAACTGTAATCTCTCGATTTTGGTTGCACAGTGAAAAGTAAAAAACTTATGGGATTATATTTTTACACACAACGAGCGTATTTCATTAGTTCAACCTTAAATCATTATCAATATATCAGTACTATTAAAAAGCTTTAAGCCTTTAGGTCGACAACATTTCAGCTGATATTAATTTTTTGTTAGAACAATTGAAAAGAATTTTGAGATTATGGAGGAGTTCGAATCCTAAATAGATCTGCATAGCAGATGTTCAAGGTCATTGTCAAAGACCGAAAAGAGAGAAAACCGAATCAAATATTTATAAACAAAGCAGACGCATTTGGAAAATTCTCGTAAATTCCCAACAATTTCGAAACGTGTGCCACATGCTGCACCCAAAAGAAGAGAAGAGGTGGAGGAAGAAGAAATTGTAGAGAAATAGAAGCGAAAAAGAGGGAAGAGAAGAGAGAATAATGTGGATAATATGGAACAACCCCCGAAACAATCTGGTCAACCCTGAAATTTTAAACTGCTTCCTGGAAAATCCGCTCTCGCCAGGCTGCTGCGTCATTATCCTTTGGGGGTGGATCTCTCCCACCCAAAAACTGACAGAGCAAAAGAGAGAGAGCTACGTCGAGAGAGCCCGAGAGAGCCATGTCCTTTGTTTCTGCTTCCTGATTCCTGTTCCCGATTGCCAACAAAGAAACTTCAACTCAAAATCCGAACTCAAAATCGCAACTCAACTGTAACTGACCTACACGAGAAAATGTTTGCGTCATTGGCGGAAGCCCAAGGATTCCAAAAGATGATGACACAAAGGACACAAAGAACGGAAGTTTTCCTTTGCGGAAAACGAAATTTCCATCGACGAAGGTCGTTCACTTGTGTTCACCATTTTTTGAGGGTGGATTCCTTCAACCAAAAACGTTTTGGTTTTTTGCGTGCTATTTAAATTAAGATTTGTAGAATATTAAGAGATTAAGAATCATTTATATATTATTTAAAAAACGAACTTATAAGCCTCAACAACACCTTATTACAATTCCAATTCCCATCCCAATTATCTTAGAAATACTCAAATTACGTGGTAGGAAATAACGACAAAAACTGTACCCAAAATTTGAAAAGCAAATGAGGCCCGGTTGAACTTCTATAAATTGCTAATAAATCGCCATAATTGGGAGGCCAGCCCTACTATGGCTAAACAACACCCTCCCCTTGAAAACAGGACCCCCTTTTCTACGGTTTATAGCGGTGTCTGCTAATCCGCACAAATTAAATGCAATTGAAATAAATTTGCATGCCAAGAGATTGGGAAATAAATGTATGCAACAAGTGTCCCAATTGCATATAATTTATTGGCAACAAATTCCGTTCTAGGCACGGGGCATAATAAAGCTCTCGAAGGCACCCAATTTGCAACCCCTTCTTGAGGTCTGAAATTCCCAGGCAGCTGCAAAAGTTCAAAAGTGTTAATTGTCGCATCAATTTGGATAATTGAAGGTACTCGGCGGGCAGTCTAGACTACTGTTTAAACGGGAATGGGGAATACCTATGTACATACCAATATAACTTACAATGGTAAGTATATCTTAACTATATCTAAATGACATACAACATATAGGAGATTTTCACCTTCTCCAATACCAAATTTGATCTTTTCAAAGTTAAGATGGTGTAAATATAATCGTTTTCACGCACACCTTTACAACTACATATGTATATTCAGCCGAACGGATCTCCAGCTCTTTCGAACACAGACAACTCAATAGGACAAGTAAGTCAGCAGAAAAAAAGAATACTTGACATACCCAAACGAGAAACAGACACGACCAAAAGTCCATTTCGATCTCCAAATTCGATCTCATAAATGTTAACGGTCATTCACCAAGGCGGGGGGTAAAAGAACAACAATGGCAACATCAACAATCAACAATCACTGAAAAAAGAAAACAAAGCCAAAAAAAGGGAGATATACCTTTAGGATAAAGTCGAATAGTTGAATATACTGATTTTGAATTTTTAAAGAAAAGAACATTGATCTATAATGGAAATGCATGTTGAAACTTATGTAATATATGTAGTATTGTAAACCATTTCCAGTTAAGAATATAAACAATATTTATATATCCAACGACATAGCAACAAATATTTACTATGATCTAAAAAAATATTTTCTTAAATATTTCGCTACGATGAATTATGAAAACAAAAACACTTCAGCTGAAAGTTTTATTATATTTTCATTTTAAAAACTTCTAGAGGTGGTATCTATATAAAAACTGGGACCAACTTCTACCGATAAGAAATAAACTCCGGCAACCGAAGAGTGATCCAAGCACGTTATTTATTATTTGATATATTCGAGAGTTGGCTTTTTCTGCTTTGTTGGGGCTTTTACGCCGGCCAAACGAAAGAAATCACTTGATATGCAAGCGGCGATCGGATCGAAAAGAACACAACCAAACAAAACAGAATAAAACTGAATAGCTCCAAATCGAGTTAAATCTGACCAAAATACAAAAAAAAAAAAAAAACATGGAGATCTGGCGACAGTGGCGACAAGAAATAAACCTGATCGGTATAGAGAGGAGAAGGAGACGCCTTCTTCGGTCAGCAAATATCTCCCCTGAGCGCTTTGAAAGTTGAACTTTTGTCAGACTCAATTCGTTCTAAGCCAGTTGGCATTGACCGCAAACTATCAAAGCGAAATCTTGTCAGCTAATCACTGGGGATTCCGATTGGGATTCAGAATCAGATTCAGAATCGGATTCAGATGCGAATGGTGGCTGCCGCTTTTGGTGGCACTCAGGTGTCATAACTAGCTTGCCATTACACCTCGAAGCGAAGTGGCGCAAGATTTGCGACTCCGATTTGGCAACAGTTGCCAAAAGTGAGTGCAAAATGTGTCGGCCCGAAGCTTCGGGTACTAATTGATTGCTAAAGACAGCCAAAACTGAGGATCTGTGGGGGGTAGTAAGCGCAGATGAAAATCGGTCCAAATATGGACTTGGTTATGACAGAGCGGCATGTGTAAATGTCTCTATGCGGCTTGTTGCGAGGCATTATAAATCGTTATCTTTTGCACTGATTTCACTGAAACTCTGACTTGGGTCATGGAGTTTCTAAAAAGTTTATCAGGAATGACGCTTATTTTTCTGCACTTAAATATGTATGTATGTATATAATTATTTTATCTCTGTTCTAATAAAAATCTATTTTTGTATACAATGTAAGGAGTAATAAAATTAATAGACTATGTGTGTATCTAACTATCTATTAATTTATCTATATACCTATCCAGCTATCTATTTATATATCTATCTATCTATGTAATTATCTATCTGTCAAAAAATTGCTTATGTCTTAATGCAATTATTAATGCAGATTGATTGGATTTTGCGTTGTGGTTTAGAATATGTATAAAATTATTCGTTATTTTAATATTTTTAAAACGTTTCCAATAACTTAGTAGTACTACCACAAACTTAACATTAGAAACCGTTGAAATTTCTCACAAACCTAGAGGAGATAGTCATCTTTTAGTAAAACTTACCTCGAGGGGTTCGGTATATGCAGTCGGAAAACCAAAGCCAATATCTCGGGATCGCCTGATGGAAGTCTATTCAAGTTTTCCAGTCGTGGGCCAGAGACAATGACCCATCCACGCAGTTGGACTTTTTTACTGGGTTCGGCCTGACAGCTCCGAAACAAGCACTTTCGAAACCGCAGCGGATCACTCTAACTGGGTCACCCAACCGCAGTCACCACTCGACACAAACTGTCGGCCACGCCCACACTCCACGCCCCACCAAATGTGTCTGGTCGGTTTGGGTTTTGGTTTTTGTTTCATTTTTTTAAAATACCAAACACCAAATTAGAGAGTTTTTTTTTTGTTTATTATGTGCCTACAAAAACCTGTTGCTTCAAGCTGAAATAAAACAATGTCGACTCTCTTAAAAATAAAAATATATTTATAATGAAATGATCATATAAAAAAAAAAACAGGTGTAAACAAGACAAAGCTCAAATAATTAATTGCCTAGCGTTAATTGAAATGCATAAATTAAACAGGTAGTTTGGCCATCTCCGAAGTCGTTGGCCCTTGGACTCCATTGGGGGGCGTTGCTCCGGTGGGCGTGGCAGGATGTCGAGGGTGCAGAAGGGGTGAATCCACCGTATCCAGACCACTGATGTCGGGATATCGGGATTTAGAGGGTGCGGGCGGTGCCTCTCGATAGGCATTGATATCGTTGTCGTGATCGGGATTCGGGAACTCACTGGCCAGATGATAGATGACCTTCTTGAACAGGAACTCCGAGAGGTTGGTGCGCAGGAAGAACAGGAACATCCAGTTGGAGAAGTTGCACTTGTCAATCACTGCCGACAGTTCGTTTTCGTCCAGTTGGCCAGGCTTTGCCCAATAGAGAGACCATCGCGTGAAGGTGACACTGATATTGATGATGGGTTAGATGGGTTAACCAAAAATAACTCAAAGATCGCCACACTTACTTTCTGTAGAAGAAGAGGGTTAACAGTCTCCAGATCAATCCCAAGACAGTAACTATAAGCAGAAAGAAGTACCAGAACCACAGGATGGTATAGATCTTTTCGTTCATGATGTTTAGGGCCATCACACAGAGTGTATCGTGGGTCTGTAGCGAACCCGAAGAACCGTACGTGTGGAAGATGCACTTGGTAACCTTGGGAAAGACCATGTCCAGAATGCTCATCTTATCGGACCACCGGTTCATCAGGGCTATCGGTCCCAGTTTGAGGAATTGTCCGCCCAAAAATCGATTGGTCCAGGTTATCTGAAGCAGGAGATTCACCAAATTGAGCACCTCCGCGAACACCAAGTGGGCACCCCACGACTGATTCAATCGCATCCTGTCGATCATTGTGCGTCGAATGTCCTTGATGCGCTCCTCTGTCTCCTCCAAGGATGGGATATTCAGCTTGCCGATCCGCAGACTGTCGTGTTTGAGGTACCTCGTCAGACCCACCATCCGAAGGCCGAAGACGAGGGCCTTCACCCTACCGCCCTCCCACTGCTTCCACAGGAAGTGCGGCACATAGAAGCAGAGGGCCTGGAAGAACAGTACGAAGGGCACCCACTGGTAGTAGGCGTGGCGCTTGATCGAATCCTTTTCGGGATCATAATTTCCCAATCCGGGGGGCTCGCTCCCCAGTCTGTGGGCCGTATGGTTCTGATCGCGCACCTAACAGAAAGTGCAAAACATAATGTTCATATAAGTGAACTATAGTTTGAAGTTAATAGTCTAAGCGCTATTTTGTCTACTTATGTTACATATATAACACATACATTGAGTATTTCAAACTATAAGCCCGAAAGAATTTTTTAAGTTGCCTATTTTTTTCAACACAAGTAAATATAAACGCTAAATTTTTTTTTTTAAACCTTGCTAAAAATCATACCAGAAATCGTTCCAAGCCACCTGTAGACAAAGCAGCAAAATTATCCAATATCTTTCTTTTTTACTTTGGTCTCAAGCTTTTAACCTGTAGGTATTCTAACCTAATTCAGGGCTTATCAATATCAGGCAACTGGTGACCTCAACTGATATTCCTGCTGACCCATAGGACTTACTATTTTGTTATTTAAGAACTAAAATTTCTTACTTCTAATCAATAGCTGGTTGTTTTAGTACATTAATATTGGTGACCTCTAGTGAATCTTTGATGACCCCTTGGTGACCCCAGGTGACCCCTCGGTGACCCCTTAAACTTACCACTGTGAAGGTGGGCGTGAAGAAGCAGAAGGTGTTGATGACGGGAGCAATGACACTGTTCGATATGCACTGGATATGCTCCCCGATATATTGACGCGACGTGATCAGCAGCGTGGCCACCAGGAGCATCACGAAGGTCCATCGATAGTGCAGCTTGAACACTATGTTGTCGATGACCACCCGCGTGAGATCGAACTTGAGGTACTGCCTCACCGAACTGAAGGTATTCAGCATTGTAGTGCCGTCCTTATCTTTGGTTTTGGTTTTGGTTTTTGTTCTGGCTCCGTTCCGATTTCGCAGCTGGTTACGATGGTTTCGGTTTTGGTGGCGATTACAAATGGGTGGCGTTCCGATGTCGGACGGATTTGTGCGCTCCGCTTGTCGCGGCTAGCTCCTCGCAACTGCAAGGCTCGCCGCTCGATACACTGCTCCGGGTCTCCGAGTCTCCGGGTCTCCGATTTTGGGGGTCTCCGTGGCCCGATCTCCATTCTCCGTACTTCGGAGAGGGCTTTCTGGCGTAAAAGCCTTATCGTGAGCTCTTTTTGGCCAGGAGAGCCGTGCAGGTCCGATAAGATAGCGTATTCGGGCTGAAATGCACGGAAATGCCGAATCAGCAATTAAATTGAGTTTAATTCAGAGCTGTCCAGTAAAATATTAAGGGAAAATATGAGAACCTACTAACGTGCCATACACTGAGAACAATTTTGGTGGGACCTTAAGTTGCAGCTCAAACAATTCTCTTCTAAATTCTATCTTATCTGGATATATTTCTAATTTATTCGTTATAATAACAAATGGATTTGAGGAAACTTTAATGTTTGTGAACAAAGTTTAAGTTTCGAAAATTTGACATTCTTTTCTACCAGTGCACTTTCGTCTCTCTTGAAACCCAAGAAAGCCCCAATTTTTGGAGCTTCTCGTGGACTTATAAAACACCTTAGGTTCTCAAGTGTGAGAAAACAAAAGTGAGAACAGGGGAATATACAAATTATTAAACACTTTCTCAGGGTTTACTTAATCAATGGGGATGCGTCTGAGCAAGGCCCAACAATTATGCCCAGTGTGTGGGTGAGTAATTCCAGACCAATCTAAATTAAAGATCCAAGAGCGTAAGAAATTTAGAACATGAGTGATCCATATAAACAATCACAAGCCCAATGAATCAGTGGGAGAAAATATCTATGACTCAAGAGAATCGGGATTTAATTGTGTGATATAAGTACAGTAAACTTTTTTGAAAGAACAATATGGTGAATAATAAAGTAACTAAAAGATAGTAATAGTTGAGTCAAAAAATACCTTAAGCCGAATGTATAAAATAAATATTTCCAACGAACTCTAAGGAGAACTACTATTTTTCATGAAGAATCTGTATTTAAGATCATAAGAGTATTAAGTGGCATTCTAGTCCATTTCAAGAACCCTTTCCGCCGTAATCTAGAACTATCCGGGTTGAAAAGCGTGCCGCTATCAATCAATGCTGTCTATTCTGATGGATGGAACAGACTTTGGATAAATATATAATATATATACAGTTTGATTGGGGATGTTATTGACCCAGATCGGTGCCAGACAGCTTAAGAGGGCTACATATATACTAAATAGTTGTAGTCTCCAGCTAGGCGAGTCTTTAGCATGGATATTGCGTTCCAGCGATAACAGGACAAGGTTTTTCATAGGTGGATATTCACCCTCCACCCAGCATTATAATTCATTCTTTGGCCCCGACAATCTTATCTCTTAGTCAATCCCCAGAAAAGACAGCAAGTCAAGTCTCCCATTATTTATATTTTGTTTAAACTCTAGAATGCCAACAGAGAGATCCGTACTATCAGTGGCCAAGTATCTATATCTGTTGCTTATCTAAATAGCGCGCCGTGGAATTCGTATTCGGTGCTTATTACTTAAGCGCTTAAGTGGCCGCTCCAACTTTGTCGGATAAGATAGACCCAGACCCCTTTCGCATATTTCACACATGGAAGTTGTGCGTAACCAGAGGCCCAGCGACTATAGACTATATTAGTAATTGCAACATTTTTAGCTGGTTGACTGCTCGAATTTTGCTCTACTAGGGTTTCGCTGGAAACTGCTTTGATTATGGGTTTTTTTGTTTGGTGTTTTTTTTTGTTTTCGGTTGACGAAAGTTCATTGATTCATATTCGAATATCAGACTTATTGCTTTATTAACACATAGCCCAGATACGAATAAAAAGTTTTAGGTACTTGTATAAGGTCAATTTTGCATTGAAATTTAAATAAAGCAAACCGCAATGAAAACGAAATTCGAACCATTCAAGCAAGGCGCTCCACACATTACCCTCGGCTACAGATTCAATTACCAGCCATAAGCAATACTGGTATGTACATATGCACATATGTGCAATACAGACATCGAGATATTGATATATTCGCATTCGTTGCAACAAAATTCTGCTGAAAAAGTGAAAGTGCTTTTGATACATATTTCGTTTGCGCAATGCAAATGAAATCGTTGATGGATGGGCGGTCTTAAAGAGTAATTTTCAACATGACGCAATCTGATTTTAATCTTTCAGTTATTTATTTATTTCCAAAATAACAAAATATACTATTTTAAACCAGTTAGCATCTAACCTATGCCCGCTGATCTCGTGATCATAAAACATCAGAGTTTAATGTCCGTTCAATTAGTAAAAAGTTGTTGTCCTCCAAATTGGAAATATATTGTTTTTAGGTCAAGTCTTTCCAAATTCAAATCTTAATTACTGTCTGACAAGTGTTTTGACATTTATAGAAGTTTCTCAGTTTCTTTAATTAGCATGATTGCAATTCGATATTTATGTAAATTCTGTCTGTTGACAGTGAAAAGCTGCTGCCTACGAGAATTTGAAATTCAAAACGCATTGCGCTTAAAGCACGTGATTGTGGCACTTGAAAGTTAATATTTTAAATATTATAATTTGTAGTCTTTAGTAATAGGTTCCTAGGTTTTTTAAGATGTTCTCTGACCTTTAATTATCGAGACCCCAACAAAAAGAACAGTCGTTGTAACATGATTTTAATAAGATGTTTTTATGGCTTTGACGGCTTTAACTGATTAGACAAACCGAAAAGTATTTAAGTATCAATAAGGTACTTTGTCGGAAGATCATTCATAGTATTTCAGATTCCATCCCAAGAGAAGAAATCGAATAAAATATCGCGAGAGAGAAACGCATGCGTAACTTTGTGATGTATCTTCTTTACACCAGATTGTTTTATGTGACGCATACGATTTTCGTGGAATTTTCAGATATGTTGATGTTCGATTTCGCATGAAGAAGATGACTAAGCTGAAACAATTTAGCTTGTGCCAAAGGGAAAATGGCAATCTAAATGCACAGAAAAAAAATTTTGATTAAATAAAGATTCGATTTATTTTTTTTATATATAGAATTAAATATGCATAATAGTACAAACTAATATAGTTTCTGTGCTTAAACTTGCTTATATAAAATATCATATTTTAAATATGATTCATAGTATTCGGTCAAAAAGTAAAATTTTTGTATGTGATTGTTGAAAGCACAGCGACTGTAAACAATATAAAAGGCAAGACAGTCGGCGATCAACAAACTTTATCTAAATATTTACTCCCTCGGGTTAACTTATCGTGTCAAAAGATTTGATTTCGACCAAAAGATGGCCACTTTTGTCAAATTTGAGATATGTGTCGAGGGGGTTGGATCTGAAACTGATCCAATCTGATTTATTGGCCTCGATACTGGCATTAGTGGGCAATTAAGACCTCGGTCTCGCCTCAGTTCGCTGCGGTTTTCTCCGGCTATTTATAGCCCAGACAGTAGTCGCCTCATTTAGGGATATATATGTACATACATACATATATATATCGGTGTATCGGTGCGGACATATAGGCTTAATGGTTTTATAACCGATTTTTATTGCCGCTTGTCCGCTTCTCCGCTTCTCAGGTTGCTTAGCAGACAGTAGCCAATCATTATTGATTGAAGGGGACCCACTGGTGCAGCTTTTACGTTTTGGTTGCGAAAATAATTTACATCGTTGTTCCTGGGGCTATGTTTTGTGTTCCGAACCCAGATCAGCGATCAAGTTGGGAGCCGGTTGCGCTAAGAAATTAAGTTGTCGACTTAAGTGATTATGTTTGTGAAGTACATACATACATATATGGATTGTGTTTGTAACAACTTAATTTATTGAAATACCTTATTGGTTATTATTTATATTATTTATATTAAATTTGAATAGTTTTTCATACAGTTAATCATTTGGTTCTTTCAATAAACAGTAAACAAATAAAATGGTTTTATAAACATTACCAAACGCTAGATTATTTAAATAAAACTTTTCAAAATTTTCCTAATTTGTTTACTTAGTTCCGGTCTTGCCAACTAAACCTTGAACAGTAGCTCTACCTTAATGTAGTACTTTTCATTCGAATGTCTATCAAGTGGGACCTTCAAACATCCCCAATGTCCGGCATATCAGCCCAGATCTACGGTGTTATAACTATAACACCTATGGCAACCAATCGGTCCCCATGACAAATGCTCTATCCCTTATCAGCTACTGGAACTGGCCGAGTATTGCCACATCTAGACTGTTTTAATTATTTTGTACAACCGAATACACGCACTTGAGAGCAATATAAGGTAGTACGTTATATAGAGTTGCTATTATGTATATGTAGTACACCCCTGTATATAGCATATACCCATGATAAGCCAATGTGTGCCTGGATTGAAATGTTTAATTTACAATTGAGATAGTTTCAAGGGTCTCGAAAACGATGGCTCCGAATTTATGGACAGAGAACAGGTAAAATAAGAATGTCGAAACCCGAAGAAGGGGCCAACAAATAAGAGAGAGAGAGGTGGAGAGCGGGAAAGAAGAACGAGTGTAACAGGTAGTCGCGTTTTCGTTTTATTTCTACATCAGGGCTCTCTTTTCTCTGTCCAGAAGGGCATGAAAAATCCCGCTAAATGTTTTTTTTCCCTATACCTGAGACTCAGGTAAATTCTGGCACGCCGGTAATGGCTGAAAATTATCGGGTGTATAAAGGTTTGCAGGTATAGAAATGCAGTGAAAGCAGAGAGTTCCAGCGTTTTTCTTATATTTCCTTTGTGTGTTCTCTCTTCCACTCGCCTCTTTGTGCTTTGTTTTACTTCTTCGTTTTTGTTGGTGGTGCAGCAGCTCCCATCTACAAAAAAACAACTCCAGCATCCACAAATACAACAACACAACGGGTTCCAAGAACTTGTCGCCTTCGCCTTCGCATACAAACACAAATGGAGCTCCAATATGGCAGATTCAGACTTAAAAGTTGGAGGGGGTGCGGGGCGTGGTGGGGGCAGTGTCCCATCGGGGGGTTAAATGCATCGGCAGAACCATGAGCGTCGGCGTTGCCA